TAGGCCTTCTCAATGAACAGACCAAGAAAATGGATGGATGTGTACATACATACACATCTTTTCTGTCTATAAGTATATAAATTTACAATTACTAGTTCATACTGATGCTCTTAATTCCTGTCCATCATGAAAAAGTTCATTCTGTTTCTTCCCCCCTTTCATATTTCTTATTCCTCTCTTCAACAGCAAGAAACCTGACTCTACTTACCCACAATATATTTACTTATTTGTTCAGCCCTAGAATACATAGAAAGTAGTCAGAATTACTAACCTATATCTTTGAGAAAACAAAGCCTGTTAACTAGAATTCGGTTATTTGTGTAGAGTTCTTCTTATCTTTAGACTGAGGGTATAAATCCAAACAGGGCTTCTCAGGTGGTACTAGTGGTCAAGTATCTGCCTGCCAATGCAGGAGCGGTACTAGACCTGGGTTTGATCCCTGGGTCGGGAAGATCTCCTGGAGTAGGAAATGGCAACCCACTCCAGTATTCTTGCCTGGAAACTTCCATGGACAGAGGAGCCTGGTGGGGTATATAGTCCATGAGGCCGCAAGGAGTCGCACGCGACTAAACACACAAAAATAAATATAAATACGGTGTTTAAACATTAGTTGGGGTTAATCTCCCACCCATCCTGTGTGATACTGTTAGTCATTTGAAATACAATTGGTTCACTGGTTTCTGTTTATATTCCATTTTCAAGTTTCCAATTGATCAATTTTGTGTATTTATTTTTTGATTATGTGAAACTGCAGGGTTCCAAAAGTCAGGATTTCACAAAAAGGGATTTTTTTGCCCAAATATCCTTGACCGTAGTGCCCTGGCTGAACATCTATCTGTCCAGGGCCTAGTTTTTTAGAAACTAAAGACTCTGCTTTTCTACCAACCTCGGGGAAATAGAATAATTCTCTCCTCTTGAAGTAATATTAACACCAACCCTCCTAATTCCTAATTGGTTAAATTGTGGCAAAACCAAATTGCAGGGACTTCCCTGGCAGTCTGGTGGTGAAGACTTTGCCTTCCAAAGCGGGTAGGTGCAGGTTCAATGCCTGGTCAGAGAGCTAAGATCCCATTTGCGTCATGGCCAAAAAAGCAAAGCATGATACAGAAGCAATATTATAATTCAGTAGCAACTTTTAAAATGGTCCACATTAAAAAAAAGCAAATTGCATAATAAAATACCTAAGACTGTATGACATAGGTTTGAAAAAACTTAAACATAATCAAATAAAGAAAGTTACATCAGGGTACTGTTCTCAAGTTTACTTTGATTTACACTGTGGTCTCCCCTTCATCTTTCTGAAGTTTGTCATTTGCAGGTGATAACAGACTTGCATGCTGATCTTAACACATATTGGTTTATTAAAAAAAAAAAACAAAACACTTTGCAGCGTTGTGTTATTTGCTGCTGTAGAACAAAGTGAATCAGCTATCCCTATACATATATCCCTTTTTTGGATTTCCTTTCCATTTAGGTGGCCACTGAGCGCTGAGAAGGGGTCCCTGTGCTAGGCAGTAGGTTCTCATTAGTTTTCTGTTCTATACATGGTCATGTATATATGCCAGTCCCACCTTCTCATTTCCCCCCTTGGCATCCACACATTGTTCTGTTTGTCTGTGTCTCTATTTCTGCTTTCCAAAGAAGGCAATTATCGACGTATAATTTCTTCGGGGCACAATTTACATACAGGGAAGAACGCTTTCAGTTCTGATAAACTGTTGTGTACCCACCAATATAGTCTAGATGCAGAACAAGTCCATCTCCTCCCGAAGTTCCTTCCTGCTGCTCATTGTCGTTAACCTTTGCCTCCCGCCCCGCCCCCGTCCCTGGCAGTCACCCACTTGTCTGTCCCTGTAGTTTGGGCTATTCCAAGATGTCACATGAATGGAATCATATCACATGGAAACTCTGAGTATGACATCTTTTGCCCTACATAATGTGGTTGATGTTCAGCCAAGTTGTATGTATCAGTAGTTTCCCCCCTTTTTATTGGTGAGTAGTATTCCATTGTGTGGATATGCTGCAGTTTTAAAAATATTTTACTTATTTATTTGACTGCATTGGGTCTTAGATGCAGCATATGGTATCTCTGGTTGCAGCACACAGGCTCAGTGGTTGGGCACATGGGCTTGGTTATCCCATGGCATGTGGGATCTTAGTTCTCCAACCAGGAAGCGAACCTGCATAGAATTCTTAACTGCTGGCCTACCTAGGAAGTCCCAGCGCCGCAGTTTATCCATTCACAGCTGAAAGGTATTTGGGTTTTTCTGGTATTTTTCGATTGTGAATGAAAGTGAAAATCGCTCAGTCGTGTCCAACTCTTTGCAATCCCATGGACTATATAGTCCATAGAATTCTCCAGGCCTGAATACTGGAGTGGGTAGCTGTTCCCTTCTCCAGGGAATCTTTACAACCCAGGGATCAAACCCAGGTTTCGCTCATTGCAGGTGGATTCTTTACCAACTGAGCCACCGGGGAAGCCCAAGAATACTGGAGTGGGTAGCCTAGCCCTTCTCCAGCAGATCTTCCAGACCCAGGAATCGAACCAGAGTCTCCTGCATTGCAGGTGGATTCTTTACCAGCTGAGCCACGAGGGAAGCCCCCAGTTATCCAATTATGAATAAAGCTTCAACCATCATGGGTCTACTGGTTTTTGTGGGAACATGTGATTTCATTTCTCTTTGGTAAATACCTAGGAATGGGATTGTTGTGTTGTATGGCAAGTATATATTTATAGGAAACTGCCAGACTATTTCTAGAGTTGCTGTACCATTTTCTGCTCCCACCAGTAGTGTGTGAGGATCCTAGTTGTTCTGCATCTTTGCTAGCAATTTGTATTGTCAGTTTTCGGCTTTGAGGTTCGTTTTCATCATTCTAATTGATTTGTAATTGTATCTCATTTTGGTTTTAATTTGGATTTCCCTCTTCCCTGGTAGCTCAGCTGGTAAAGAATCTGCCTGCAAATGCAGGAGACCCTGGTTTGATTCCTGGGTTAGGAAGGTTCCCTGGAGGAGGGCATGGCAACCCACTCCAGTATTCTTGCCTGGAGAGTCCCCAAGAACAGAGGAGACAGGGGGGCTACAGTCCATGGGGTCTCAGAGTCAGACATGACTGAGCAACTAAACGCACAAATGATTAATTTTGTTGAACATCTTTTCATAGGCTTATCTGCCACTTGTAAATCTTCTTTGGTGAAGTGTCTATTCAGATGTTTTGCCTACTTTATCGAATTCCCGGGTGGTCCAGAGGTTAAGACGCTGAGCTTCCAGTGCAGTGGGTGCAGGTTCAATCCCTGCTGGGGAGCTAAGAGCCCCATGCCTCATGGTGGCATGGCCAAAAAGCAAGCAAACAAAAAAGCATTTTGCTCATTTAAGAAATTGAGTTGCATGGGTTCTTATTGAATGTGGGAGTCATTTATACAAGTCCTTTATCAGATATGTATTTTGAAAATATCTATGGCTAGTCTTTTTTTTTTAAGTAATTTTATTTATTTATTGGCTGTGCTGGGTCTTTGTTGTGGTTGGACTTTTCTCTAATTGCATCTTCTGTATCTGACTTACTTCACTTAGTATGATAATCTCTAGGTCTATCCATGTTTATGCAAATGACAATGTTTTCTTTTTATGGCTGAGTAATATTCTATCGTGTGTGTGTGTGTGTGTGTGTATCACATCTTCTTTATCCATTCATCTGGTAATGGATCCTTAGGTCACTTCCATGTCTTGGCTATTATAAATAGTGCTGCTATAAACATTGGGGTATATTTATCTCTTTAAATTAGAGTTTTCATCTTTTACAGATATATGCTCAGGAGTAGAATTGCTGGATCATTTAGTAGTTCTATTTTTATTTTTTTTTAAGGACCTGCATACTGTTCTCTCTTAGTGACTGTACCAGTTTACATTCTTACTGACAGTGTTAGAGGGTTCCCTTTTCTTCTGTGGTCAGTTTTTAATTAATTTGTGTATAGGTTTGGGCAAGGTTCATGGTAGCTTTTTTACATGTGGATTTCCAATCAATTCATCACATTTTTTCAATGGACTGTCCTTTTTCCACTTTGCACTTTTGTCAAAAATCAATTTGAGCATTTGTGGTGGGTTTCTTCTTGAATTCTATACTATTCCATTGACATTATTTCATTTTTCTTCACAGTAATCAAATGAAATTTTACTCTTGATTATCCATGTTTTCCAGATAAAGACACAGGGTAACCTCTTAGAGGACATGGAGACACAGGGCCCTACAATGTAAAGAATCTGTAAAAAAGATGATTGTAAGATTCTGTGAGAAAGTTCTATCTGTATGGAAAGTACTCTAACAGTTTTTAGCATGAGCTCAGCGTCTGGAAGCATAGAACAAGAGTGTTTAACCAAGCCTGTGGCTGCAGAAGGGTCAAGGAAGGCTTCCTGGAGGTGGTGATCCCTGAGTCAAACCTTGAATGACAGGAGGGAACTTGGGCACTTGGACGACATTAAGGCCCTAGTGGAGACTGGTGAGGTCAGCAAACCTAAATGGTTTTGATAACAGCAAGAATAGCCCTAATGCATGACTTATGTATGGGCTGGATCAAGGGTATGGAATCTTTTTCTCCAGGTGGGTGGAAGAGACTTCTGAGCAATTTTTTTCTCCCTAAAATTCCAAAATTTCCAGGTCTCAGTTTTGTTGCCTGTAAAATGGGGCCATTCCATCCTGGTGATCTGTGACTCTCTTGAGCAGGATTCAGCACTGGTGTTAACAGACATGCCTTATCAGGCTTACTGCTTTTTTGCCAAAGCTGTTTTATTTGTGAATTAGGTTGTTTGGTCCTCGGAGCATCCTGGTGGCAGGGCAAGCTATTTCATTTGGTCCTATTCTCAGATATGCTCTCTCTGACATGAGTTAACATTACATCATGGATATAGGAACTTCCAGCCCCTGGGTTCTTTTCCTTCCTTCCCAAAGCAGCACAGTGCCCTGGACTGACCCCCTTCTTTTCTCGGGCTCTCTCCCATCCTTTGCAGGTACCATCAAGGTCACCGCCGACTCAGCCATGCTGGGATTGCTCTTGCGGGACAAGCATGAGAGGGCAGGGAACAGCACCAGCGTGCACAGTGTGACCTGCATCCTTGCCCAGAACAGCAGCCAGGCCTTGCCAGGAGAGCTCCAGTTGAGGGGGCAGCTGCAGGCCCAGACAGGGAGCCTTGGGGGCCAGGCTAGCCTCCATGCAGACACGGCCAGCCTGGCTCTGGGTGGGGTTTGCACCTGGGGCCCAGGGCATGGCCAGCTCTCTGGCAGCCTGAGTCACAACATCAGTGCTTTGAGTGAGGCAGGTAAGAGGGGCTGAGAGAGCCCAGTGGCTTCCTTCCCTAAAGACTCCCGGGGCCTGCAACCAAGGGAGTTAGAGCCCCCAGGCCTTAAGTCCACCTCCCAGCTCTATCTCCTTCCCCTACCACCTTCTCCCAGTGCCTCCATCTTCCCTGGGCTCTTATTCAGCCAGAACATCAGTTGCAACCCAGTACAGACATACCCAGGCTCCCCAGGTGGCTTAGTGGTAACGAATCCATCTGCCAAGCAGGAGACGTGAGTTTGACCCCTGGGTCGGGAAGATCCCCTGGAGAAGGAAATGACAACCCACTCCAGTATTCTTGCCTGGGAAATCCCATGGACAGAGGAGCCTGGTGGGCTACAGGCCATGGGGTCTCAAAGAGTCGGACACGACTTAGCAACTAAGCTACCGCCGCCACCACCACAGACATGCCTCCAAACTGGAGGGCAGATAGCCCCTGCCACCCGCCCCTCCTCCCAGGACTCCCCACCCCCAGTCCAGCTTCTGGGCTTGGAAACCTGGTTTAGCAGGACTTCCAGGATGTTCTTGGCACCGCAGTTAGGCAATAGCTCAGACACCCCCAGCTCTAGCTTCTTGGGAACAATTCCATGGGCCTGAAGGTGCAGCAAGGTGAGAACACAGGCTCAGACCCCTGCTTCCTAAGAGCCCATCCGTACCTTTAGGGAGCGAGGAATCCAAAGCGGACATGGGGCCTATTACTTGCTGGGTGTGGCCATTGTGGTCTTAGGAAGGAGCTGGGAGGCAAGTTCACCTCAGGGCTCAGGGGACCCTCCAGAGAGAAGGCGGGTTGTCAGGGACCCCGTTCTGGCTCTGTGGGGCATGCCATCTCCATGGTTCCTCTCCCCAGCAGGGCTCTCCTCCCAGGCAGGGATGCTCCTGTCACACACCCACGTGGCTTCCAATTTCTCAGTGCGGGTGATGCTGCGAAGTTCTGGGGGTCAGCTGGATGCAGCCCTTGGCCTGGAGGGCGTGGCCACCAGCTCATCGGGCAGCCAGCTCCGAGCCAGCCTCCACCACACGGTGCCTGGCCTCGGGCGCTGGGGCCTCCCCTTCTCCGTGGACGGCCGTGGACACTTGCAGGTGGGTGAGAGGGCTGGGCCCGGGGCCTCGTGCGGGCAGTGGGTCCGAGGGACACCCACAGCTGTGCTTCTGCCCAGAGCTCGGGACCCAGTCTGGAGGCGGGGTTGGTGGTGAGCGTGGACGGCGAGGAGCTTGGTGGAGCCCAGGAGAGGAGGGGAGCAGGTGACCACCGGGAGCTGACCCTGGGCCTGCATACCAGCTTCATGAGGCTCCAGGTAAGTGACCTTTAGGTCCGCACGTGGGTGAGGCCCAAGCCAGGCGCACTGTCTCTGCAGCTTCTCTAGTAACCTACCCAGTTTCCACCAGCTTGCCCCGCCCACCGCCCCAGCCCCGCCCACCGCCCCAGCCCCGCCCACCGCCCCAGCCCCGCCCACCTTCCCTCCCAGACGCTCACAGAATTTCCCATCCTCCCTTCTCATCCATCCTTTCTCCTTTCCTCCCACCCTCCTCTCCCACTCATCCTCGTTCCCTTCCTTTCTTCCTCCCCACCCTGCCTTCTGTTCTTTCTTCTGCCCACTTGTCTTCTCGTCCTGGCACTGCTCCCTCCTCTGCCCCCGTAAGTAGCACTAGAGTGGAGGCACTCTGGGTTTATCTGGTAAAATTAAAACTGCTGAGACTCTCACCCATCAGTTCATGTTCTCCTGGGGAAACCTGGAACGTTGGCCAGCTGTCTTTTACATTGGTCTCTCAAGAACAAAAAACAGGAAACCATCTCTGTGCCCATCACAGTTGTGGTTAAACCATCCAGAGCGTGCGGGAGGCAGGGTGAGTGAGCAAGGTGTGCGACCTGAAGCCAAGCTGCTTCATCGCTTACCGATTGTGTGACTTCAGGCCAGTTGCTTACTCTCTCTGTGCCTCAGTGTTCTCATCTGCAAAATGGGTCTGTTAATAATGCCTGCCTCCCACAGTTACCTTGAGGATCCGATGAGGAACCAGTGAGAACCTGGCACACAGGCCCTGTGAGGACGTGAGCTCTGGTTACTTCTGATTGTGACGATGCTGTGGGTTAGCACCTCAGTTTACATAAGCCTATCTTTGAGGGTTATCTTCCCAGGGAAGCCTTCACTAGGGGAGATGGGGTCAATTGGATCTTAGCACTCTGTTCAGGGTCAAGGTTGGGGAAAACACCTCATGCCTACACATGCCCTCTGCCCACCCTGCTGGCCATCCTAGGTCAGCTGCAGGGGAGACATTATGCATGCCCAGCTGTCAGGGCTTTGCTGGGGGAATGGGGAGACGTCACTGGGTGGCTTCTTGAGGTACCAGGGTCTCTGTCACCATTAGGGCAGCCATGGTAGATGGTGGTCTGCCTCCGGGGAAGGGTGGGGAGGGACAGGTACAGTCTGAGCACCAAGGCCTTCCTGCTGGATGGTTTAGGGAAGGCCTGTGGCCACTTCCAGGCTGACCTGCACAGTCCCCTCCTGCAAGCCCTTCGCATCCCCAGGGACATGCATCTGGGCTCCCAGCCCAGACTGACAGTGGATGGGTGGTTCCTTCTGTAAACACAGTGACAAGGACCCAGGATCCAAGTGTTTCAAGCCAGCCTTTGCCCTGGGGGGTGGGGTTGGGCGTGGTCTGGGCTGGTGACAGGCATATCTGGGCCTTTAGGGGAAGACAGAGCGTGGGCCTTACAGGCACACACGCTGCCCAGGTTGGGACTCAGCCCAGCCTGTGATGCTCTGAACTCTCCTGGGACAGGGCCCTGGTGAACAGTAGGTTATCTCCTTCAAAGGCAAAGCGTGGTGGGGAGGCCTGCGTGCAGCACTTGGATGCCCTCATTTCCAGCGGGGCCCAGTGTCTCCTGGACCAAGAGCTGTGGGTGAACTGGACCCAGTCAGGACTGCCCTCGTGGGCAGCTGAGCAGACAGCTGGTTGTAGGCCTGGCTCAGCAGAGCTTTCAGCCCAGCTGGCTGTGGGGTGACCAGCCAGTGAGCATAGCCCTGGGATGGTTCTGGGGGAGCCAGCCCAAGGAACTGACCTGCTCGGGGACCGGGGAGACCCGAATCTGGAGGTGTTGAATGGGTGCTGCTGGGTGTCCCACCTGGGGCACTGCCGGAGGGCCCTGGAAGCCAGTGCTGTGGGCTCACCACCTGGCTGTCCAGGTAGAGGGAACCTCCTTGGGGAGGATGGTTTCGGCCAGTGTCACCTCTGTGAGCACAAACGGTGTGATGCTTTCATGCCTCCAGCTTGGGTAGTGCTACTGACTTCACCCAACACAGGCAGACACAAGGACCAGACAAATCAAACTACCACAGCTTCCTGCCCAGACCTGCCACTCACCTGCTGTGTGACTTTTAGCCAGGCCTTAACCTCTCTGAGCTTCAGCCTTGTCATCTGTATACTGCAGGTGGCATTGTACAGTATGTCCCTACTTTATGCTGTCGAGCAGGAAGTGGACCAATGCACGTTAAGTGCCGTCTCAGTTGTGTACCCTCTCTTTGGCCCTGGTTTCAGCTACCAGGGAATCATAATCTCATTTTACAGATGTGGAAACTGAGGCTTAGGGAGGTGATGTCACCTTCCTAGGGTCGCATAGTGGCCTAGATGGCAGGAGGGTTAACCAAGGGAATTGAGGATCAGGATTGAAGGGGTCTTAAGGGACAGATGGGCTGCCTCCCCCCAGAGGAAACTTAAGACTAGGGGGTATGTGGAATGAGTAGTTACATGTGTGAGAAAGACTCAGAGCCGGCGGCAGGAGGGGAGGGGTGATTGCTGCAAGGACTAACTGCGTAGGAGGGTTAGGACAGGACCTGTGAGTGGATGGAACCTCCCTCTGAGAGTCATGGCCTGGAATTCCAGGGAAGGGCTTGAAAGGGGGCATTCCTCAGTCCTGGAGCAGGCCAGTGACATCCAAGCAGGAGAACCATGCCCTGGGCACCATGGGAGGCCACCCCGAGCTCTGTGGCTCCACTTGTGGTCTCCATTTAGCTGCGGTGGAGTTGATACATGCGTTCACCCCATCACCGGTGACGCTGTCCCCGCCCCAGGCAGACAGCTGAGTGCTGAGTGACAGGAAGGGGCTGAGGGCAGCTCCTGGTTCTGTCCTGGGGTTGCAGATTCCCACCCTCCAGAACCCCAGGTCCTGAGAATTATACCACTTAGAGGCACAAGTGACTTCCATTTGGGGCATTAAGAGGGATGTGTTCAGACCAGAGAGAGACACACAGGGCCTCTCAGACAAGAGAGGTTGAGAGGCCCGCACTCTATTGTGGAAAAGAGAGGCGAAAACAGAGACCTCAGGGGAGGGGGCATTTTTTGTTCTTGTTCGTCTGTTAGTCATGTCTGACTCTTTGCAACCCCATAGACTGTAGCCTGCCAGTCTCCTGTGTCCATGGTATTCTCCAGGCAAGAATACTGGAGTGGGTTACCATGCCCTCCTCCAGGGGATCTTCCCAACCCAGGGATCGAACCCAGGCCTCCTGCATTGCAGGCAGATTCTTTACCATCTGAGCCACCAGGGAAGCCCCAGGGGAGGGGGGCATGAGGGGCCCCAAATTGCTCTGAATGGTTAGATTTCTTGACTCCCTGGGAGGGTGTGTTCAGCTCTTCAAAGAGAAGAGAGATCATGGATGCCCCCGGAGGATGAGGGCTTTCCTGACCACCTGTGGGCAAATGGACAGTGGACACACTTCATGAGGTGCTGTAGGGACCCCTCACCTGGCCTTTCTTGGCTGCAGAATCCAGCTGTGCTGACACTGAACGGCTCCTTCCTGGTGCACAGCGTTGGGGCCAGCCTGGTGGCTCAGGTGTCGTCTGGAAACACCTTCGCCCGAGCCCACGTCCACTCAGCCAGCGGCCACCGTGCTTACCTGGACACCGGCCTCCAGCAAGCGTGGCCTCCACTTCAGGCACTGGGAGTACCCCCCAGCAACCACATCCGCATGTCCATGGGGGGAGATGAAGCCCCCCGGGCCCAGCTGGAGGTGGCCCTGGGCCTGTGCGCCCTGACTGCCCGTGGGGACTTCAGGTCAGAGGCCAGCGCCACACACAACTGGACCCTGGTCCTGGTGAATCACTGCCCTCTGCTGGAGGTAAGCCTCCCACCCCTGTCGGTGTGGGTTCCCACCTCCTTTTATAAATTATTAACACCTACTGTATGAAATGGCAACCCACTCCAGTACTCTTGCCTGGAAAATCCTATGGACAGAGGAGCCTGGTAGGCTACCATCCATGGGGTCACAAAGAGTCGGACACGACAGAGTGACTTCATTTTTTCACTGTATGCCCAGCTCTGCACTCAGCATGAGAAACTTTGGGTTATTTTTTTCTTTTGCTGTTGTCCCTTAAATTGGGGGACTCATTGACTATAAAGCTTTGAGCCAAAAATGGGACCAGAGTTCAATTTTTCTCCCCTTTTGCAAAGGGCCCTCCTGAGACCCTGGTTTGCATCCTTTCTGTGGTTCAAGTTGGTTCTGTTCTTATTTCTCACTTCCTGCATCCCTGGGGTTAAGGATCCAGGAGTAAGAATGAGGCTAATACAGAGTAATAACAAGAGTACTGAGTATACTCTGAGGCCCCTTGAATCCTCACCTCTGGGGGAAAGGGCTGCTTGTACCCCCTCGCCCCCCATGATACACTGGGGCCCAGAGAGGTGGGGGGACCCTTTCATTCCCATCTTGGGTCTGTGCCCCCATGTGGGGTATGTCTTAGGCCCCAGTGGAGTGAGTTGCTTAAAGTCTCTGCCCTCCAGCAAGTGAACATTGAAGTTCGTGATCTCTTTCCAATAGCCAGTGCTTTCTGGGTGCCTGGCTCTGGATTCACAAGGATTAACTTACTTCCATCTCCCAGCAACTTATGATCAACTCCCATTTTAGAGATGGGTAAACTGAAGCTGTGGGTTTGGAGAGACCGACTTAGTGGTAGAACGGGAATTTGAGCCCACATCTCTCGATGGGGTACCCTTGGTATCGCTCACCTTGTAGAAGGAGGAGCTGATAGAGTTTAGGCCGTGGGGCCACTGCTGCCCTCTTCCCATCCAGATGCGTCTCCAGCTCCCCCACCTTGACTTCTGGTGTGTGTGTGTGTGCTGAGTCACTTCAGTCGTGTCCGACTCTGTGACTCCATGGGCAGTAGCCCACGAGGCTCCTCTGTCCGTGGGATTCTCCAGGCAAGGATACTGGGGTGGGTTTCCGTGCCCTCCTCCAGGGGATCTTCCTGACCCAGGGATCGAACCCGCATCTCTTATGTCTCCTGCATTGGCAGGCGGGTTCTTTATCACTAGTGCCTCCTGGCTTCTGGCACTCACTCGAAATCCAACCACTTTCTCCATATCCTAGGTGACAGGAATCCCGCGGGCCCTGCACTCCGAGGGCAGCCTGAGCTGGGGCCCCTGCCAGTTCGACCTGACCACGGACTTCCATATTGACCGTGGAGACGCCCACCTGCAGTTGGCCCATACCTGTGGGCCCCAGACCTTGGTCCTGGGGCACCTGACCCACTCCCTGCCCTTCCTGGGCCAACTGGGCCTGCCACCCTGGAGTGCCATCAGCCTGACTGTCCAGCCTGGCCCCGCCCCCTACAGCTCCCTGTCCCTCCGGATGGGGCCGTGCCAGCTGCGGGGTGCCCTGGAGCAGCATGCTGAGAACCAGAGCACGTGGACTCTGGCCACCGAGCCGGGCTGCCCGCTGCTGGAGGTGTGTATAGCGGACCAGCAAGGTGTCTGGAGAGGAGCTTCCCATCAGCGTGAGGCCTGAGCCTGGCTGACACCCCCTCCAGGGACTTCCCAAGACCAGCTACTATTTCCCCAAAGCCCTGTTGGACACTTGATCCCTCTTATATCTCATCCCATGTTCCCATTTGACAGATGAGGAAATCGAGGCTGGGTGAGATTAGACGCTTGCAGGGCCATGAAACTTGAGGACCGCAGACTCAGAATTTATGAGAATCTGTATTTTTAGTAAAATTTTAAGAGCAGGAAGGGAATGAGAGGAACTCTTCTCAGCTGACAGTTGGGAACAGTTGCATCTTGGTTTCATAACCTGTTAAAAACCACAGGCTGGATTTTATCTGAGCCGAGAGAGAGTCTGAGAATTGTCCTGTGATGTTTGGGGGAAGGGGACGCCATGACTCAGGAAAGGGGGAAGCTGGAGTCTAGGTCAGCAGACAGGGCTGGTGCCCTCGTCGGAGTGGGACAGGCCGCTGCCCTGTGTTTCCTGATGGAGCTTCCTGGGCGCAGGGACAGGGTCGGTCTGGTCCACTCAGCATCCCTGAGCAGAGGGCTGGGCGCTGGCAGACGTTCTGTCAGTGTTAATCAGGTCAACACAGGATTGGTCCACAAGAGAGCAGAGCATCATGGGATGAAGCAGGCCTACCCACTAGGGCTTTCTGTGATGATGGAAATGTTCTTTGCTATCCAGGACAGCAGCCGCTAGCCACAGGGAGCTACTGAGGGCTTAAGATGATTTTCCTCATGCTACAGAGAAACTGAATTCTTACTTGGACTTCATTTTAATACAGAGGGAACCAGCCCCACGTGATTAGTGATGATCCTAATGGACAGCATAGAGGGGAAGCACAGACTGAAGACAGATCAGGCTCAAACCTTAGGTTGTCTACTTATTAGCCATGTGATTCTGGGCAATGACTTTGCCTTGTTGAGCCTCAGTGTTCCCATCTGTAAAATGGGGACTGGTAACTACGACTCTCAGAGTCATTGGAATAAGGTGAAAAGAGAGCATTCTGATGAAGCACTTAGCACGAGACTGTGTGTACTGAGTGTTCTCTGATGGACAACTGTTGTGTGTTGTGATTGAAGCTGCAGTTTTGTTGTTGCTGTAATGGGGGAGGGACAGGGGGAAGAGGGTTGAAGATGGAGAATCGGGCAACTCGCTGGTGTGGGACCACCCTCTGACCCGTCTCTCTGTGGCCCAGCGGGACCTGGGCCTCCCAGCAGGGACGCAGCTCAGCAACTCCCGGCAGGCCTTGGGTGGGGAAGCAGAAGCATCAGGGGTCCTTGCGGCAGCCACCCAGGCTGCTTCCTTGACCTTGGCGGTGACCCTGCGCCCATCTGAGGCCACACTCCAAGCAAAACTGAGGCCCACGCTGTCTGCACTGCACGCCCTTCGCCCGGAGACCTCGCTGACTGTCCAGTGTGGGTGGGAGGCCGGGCACCGGCTGCGCCTGGAGCTGCACTCAGGGGCCTGCGAGCTTCAGGGCAGCGGTGAGCTGCAGCTGGACCGCCGGCTGCAGTGGCGGCTGGTGGCCGAGAGCTCCTGCGAGGCCCTGCAGGTACGTGTGCCGGGAGTGAGCGGGAGGGGTGAGCACCAGGGTCTCCAGGCGGGAACCCTCCTTTTTAAACATTCCCAAAGTGAGAGAGATGGGGTGAACCCTGGAGGAGTGGAGAACCTCCTCTAAGCCCTGGACACACAGCTGTAAACACAGCAGAGATGAGTGCCTCCCTGGGGCAGACAGGCAACCCCCAGGATAAGTCACTGAATTGTGGAGTGTATTACACAGGGGTGAGGGCTAGGAGAGAGAGAAAGTGGGAAAAGGGGGTCATGGAAAACAGGGCAGATACTGCAATTTTGTATGTCGGTCAAAGTTGGTCCCCCAAACAGGATGACATTTAAGCACAGACCTGAAGGAGAGGAGAGAGTAGGGTTGTGGGTATCTGGGGAGAAGGTTTTCTCTTTAAAAAAAAAAAATATTTATTTCTGTTTATTTATTTGGTTGCACCAGGTCTTAGTTGAGGCATGTGGGATCTTTAGATGTGGCATGCGAACTCTTAGTTGCGGGGTATGGGATCTAGTTCCCTGACCAGGGATCATACCCAGGACCCTTGCATTGAGGGTGTGAAGTCTTAGTAACTAGACCACCAGAGAAGTCCCAAGGGGACAGGGTTTTCTGGGCATGACCAGTGCAAAGGCTCTGAGGCAGAGCTGGAGAGGGAAGGGCATCCTCTAGGACTGGGATCAGCAAACTGTCTTTATAAAAGTCCAGATAGCAAATATCTCAGACTTTGCAGGCCACTCAGCGGCTGTTGTAACTACTTAGCGCTGCTATTGTAGTGCAATGTGCCATAGACAGTATGCGGTGAATGGGCATGACTGTGTTCCAATAAAGCTTTATTTACAACAGGCAGTGGGCTGGATGTGGCTGGTGGGCTGGCATTTGCTGACTTCTGTTTTATAAAAAGCCCAGGGGGTGAGAGCACCCTCGGATTCAGGATCCATCACGGAGGTGGAGAGATAGGATTGGCTAGAAGTCAGATGTGGGTGTGAGAAATAGGGGAGCCAGATGGTGATTGTGAGAAGAGGACTGGGGCTGCTGCTGTTCCTGGTGATAGGAAGGACGTGGGTGGAGAAAGAGAGCTGGGGAGAGGGTGTCGCTGACTCACAGGCCCTTGTTGAATGTGTTAAATCTGACAGGGCTCTTAAACGCCCAAGGGGAGACGGTGGGGGCAATCAGGAGGTCGGCTGTGGTCTGAACTGGAGGTCTCCTCCTCTCGGTGGTCACATTTAAAGCCACGGACTGAGGGCTTCCCTGGTGGTCCAGGGGTTAAGACTTCGCCTTCCAATGCAGGGGGTGCAGGTTCAATCCCTGGTCAGGGGGCGAAGATCCCACATGCCTCAGGGCCCCAAAACCAAAACATAAAACAGAAGCTATATCATAGCAAATTCAATGAAGATTTTTAAAATGGTCCACATCAAAAAGAAAAAAGCTCTTAAAAAGTCATAGACTGGCTGAGATGGCTGTGGGGTGGGTGGAGACTAAGCACTCAGGTTGCAAAGCTGGGGAAGATGAGAAGGAAGCAGCCAAGGGTACCAAGAAGAACAAGCCAGGAGGAGGAGGAACCCCAAGGGAGAAGGGGGTCTCAGGCTGGGGAGGAAAGGGTTCCAAGAGGGGAGGAAAGGTTAATAGGGCCAAACACTGTGTCAGGCAGGTGGAGTCGGGCAGCTGTCGTGGGCACCGGAAGGCCGCCTGTGAGGCCAGGAAGCCCAGACTCTGAATGTTGGTTCTGCCCCTTGTCCCTGGTGGCCTTGAGCACATCCCTGTCACTCCCCGGGCTTCAGTCATCATCGTAGATGGGGTGCAGTGACCGCCCCCACTCTCACGATTAGATGGACCAGCCCTGTGCTCGGAGATGCGCATGCGCTGATGGGCGGAGCCTAGGGAGATGCCCACGTGGGCCGGCCTTGCAGCCTACTTCCTGGACAGGCTCCCATCACCTCTCAGGAGCAGGTGTCTGGGTTCTGTGCGCCTGGGGAGGTGGAGGGGCTGGGGGAGGAGAGGAGGGGAAATGCATGTTTCAGAGCTGCCAGTGTTAGAAGGCTCTTGACCAGTTGGTTTCAAGGGATAAGATTCTCTGGAGCATAAAGATGTGATCTTTGTGGTTTGGGGTGTCCAGAAAGGGGCCAGAGGAAGCTCATTGGACAGTGCAGGTCTGCTGAGGCGGGGCCCTCTGACACTCCTAAAATCTGAGCCAAGTCGCAAACCCTCTCCTGTAGAGACTCATGTGGGCACATCCTCACCACATTTTGTTTTCAGTTCAAGGGAGATCATGGGACCCCTCATGCCCACTAGTGACCCCACCCTAGTTAAGAAGCCCTACTTCCATTTCTTTCAACCCTTCCAGGCCCTGGGGGTCCCAGGCCGAGTCGACGGCTCTGGCTACATTGTGGTGAACTCCACGGCCGTGGACGCTCTGGTGCTGGTCACCGTGGATGCCAGCACACTACAGGGGCTGCTTGTCCTCAGTACCACCGAGGTGAGGGTGCAGACGGGTCGGGGGCAGACCAGGATGGCCTGGGATGCCGGGGCCATGTGCTCCTGATGAGAGAAGCATTTGGATATGAGCTGAGCTCCAGAGAGGACCCTGGCAGATGAGAGCTTCAGGGTCCGTGAGTAGAGGGACGAGAGTTCTGAGCAGAAGGTCCCTCAGCTGCCCCTCCCCCATCCTAACTCCCCAGGGCCCATTGATCATCAGACTCTCTTAATGTCATGTTCATGGAAGCACACAGCCTTCTCCCTTTTGCATCTGCCCTCTTTTGTTCAGCATGACATTTGTGGGATTCACATGGTCTATATCCTTTTTCATTGCTGTATAGTATTCCATGGAGTGCTGGTATCACAATTCATCTATTTATCTTATCCATTAGCATTTGGGCAGTGTCTAGTTAAGTACATTTTGATTTAAAGAATATTTTCATTGTGGTATAAAACACACGACAAAATTTACCATCTTAACCACTTTGAAGTGCACATTCAGTGGCATTAAATACATTCACGTGGTTGTACAGCCATCACCACTGTCCGTGTCCAGAACTCTCTTTATCTTGCAAAACTGAAACTACCCACAATTTAACAACTCCTCATTTCCTGCCCCACTCCCCACCCCAGCTCTATTGAATTTCCTTCCTTTTTAAGGCTGAATAATACTACATTGTATGAATGGCCCATATTTTGTTGATCCATTTTTCCATCAGTGGACACTTGGGTTGCTTCCACCCTTTGGCTATTGTGAAGAGTGCTGCTATGAACACAGGTTTGCAAATATCTCTTGGTGATCTCTCCTGTGAGTCTTGGTTTTTCTTGCTCTGTTATAGACCCAGCAGGAGGTAAACTTTCTGCTCACACACAACCAGCCTCAGCCCAACCCCTTGGCCCTCCCAGCCCAGATCCTGCTATACCTGACCAAGGAGAGGCTTGGGCCCAGCTATAGACACAGCCTGCGGGTTGGAGTGGATGGCAAAGAGGTGGGTGCTCTGCCGGGGTGAGGGTGGGCTTGGTGGGGCTGGGAACTGGCCCGATGGCCCTGGTCCCATGTCTTCCATCCTGACAGGTGTCCGAGGAGCTGACCTTCACTCGGTGGCCAGAGCACGTCTCCCTGGACTGCAGACTCCAGCACAACATGCCCGCGCTGCGGACGCTGTGGGTGGAGGACAGGGTGGCCCTTCAGGTCAGCCTTGGCGAGCGGCAGTGATAATGGAAATCTTTCATTCATTCAGCAAGCCTTTTTGGAAGTATCTCCGAGACAAGGGGATGGTAGAACAAGCTTCAGACCTCCCTCTGAGCCTCAGTCTTTTCATCTGGAAATTGGGGTTGCTGATACTCATTTTGCCCTTGTGGCTCAGCTGGTAAGGAATCTGCCTGCAATGCGGGAGACCTGGGTTCGATCCCTGGGTCGATAAGATCCCCTGGAGAAGGGATCCGCTACCCACACCAGTGTTCTTGCCTGGAGAATCCCATGGACAGAGGAGCCTGGGGGGCTACAGTCCATGGGGTCGCAAAGGGTCGGACACGACTGAGCGACTTTCCCTTCACTTTTCGCTTTCAGTATTCATTTCCTTCACCCAGCCGTGCCCTCAGGACGGTTATACATTCTTGCGCTCTAGAGCCCCCTCCCCTGCTTTATAGAGCCGGTGACTTAAAGCAGGGATTTAGCTTTAGCGTCACCTCATTAGAACAAAGACTCTCCTATCACCCAGGAAATCCCAGGGACCTATGAGCTCCGTGTCGTATTCTCCTGTCACCCCATCACTCAGTCTACAAGGCTGTATGGGCTCTGTGCCAGGAACTGGGGTTGAAGACCAACTGTCAGCAGGAACTGGGACCAGAGACCGCTGTAGCTGCAGCTTTACTGTGCCGTGCCCTTCCTAGCCTCTCCCCAGCTTTCTGTTTTCCATCGACTTCCCATCATCCGACACGTGATGCCTTCGGTGTTGTCCCGGTCTGACTCCCACTGCTGGTCTCTAAGCTCCACGTGGTAGTGTACAAGTTCAGACATGTCTGTCTGTCTCACGTGTGGCAGCCTCCTAAGCTTTAACAGGACCCAGCCAGTGGCAGGTGTTCAGTCAGCATGGCTGAATGATGGAGCGACTCCTCCCGCTTTATAGAGCGGGTGACTTGAAGCAGGGATCTGCTCGCCACCTGCTGACACGCACTGTGTGTTCTGCCCGCCATGGCTCATATGCTGTTCTGGCTTCAGTGATTAACTCATGGCACATGGTGGGGTGCTTGCAAACTCAAAGCCTTTGGGGCCCCGTGGAGAACTCCAGTGTATCTGGTGAGCTGTAAGGGGACCTAGAGAGCTCACACCCTGTCTAAAGTCTTCCAAGTGGTATATTTTTAACTTTCAAAAAAAAAGTTTTTTTTAAAAAAAATTTATTAACTTTTATTGTGGTGAAATAAATCTTTACCATTTGAACTGTTTTATTTTGTTTAAAGATATTTTTACGTGGACCATTTTCTAAAGTCTTTATTGGATTTCTTACAATATTGCTTCTGTTTTGTGTTTTGGTTTTTTTGGCCATAGGGATCTTAGTTCCCTGGCCAGGGATCAAATCCTCACCCTTTGCATTGGAAGGCAAATTCTTAACCGTTGGACTTTGAGGGAAGTCCCCTGAGCTATTTTAAACTGTACAATTTAGGTATTTAGTACACTGATAAATTTGTTTAGCTACTCTCTTAATTCAGAGCATTTTCATTCCCCCAGATGGGAACCCTGTTACCCACGAGCAATCACTCCTCAGCAGGCACCTCCCTGCCCTATAATGCCAAACAGCACGTGTGAAGTTTGCCAAGTGTAACCCATCCTGCTCTCTCAGGGCCCTGGTTCTTCCCACCCCAGTGGTGTGGACGGTACAAGACCCCGGGGTCTGTGGGAGCTGGTCCTAGCTGGGCCAGGCTGGCTCTCTCTGCTCGGGGTGGTCTGGCATCTCCTGGATGTTGTTCCAGGTCTCCGCGGACGTTGACAGCAGCGGCACTGGCTTTGAGAATTCAGGACGCGTCTCGGCAGGGTCCACGTCTCTGAACTACTCCGTGAGCTGCCGTCACCGCGATGGGCGCCTGGAGTTCTCTGGTTGGAGTGAACACAACAGCTGGGCCCTGTGGCAGGCGGGGTTCCCGGGAGAGGCCCGCCTTGCCGCCGAGCTGCAGAGGCAGAGTAAGGCGGCCGGACCCTGCCCGGGGTTGGGAGTCAGCCCCCCTACACAGACACCTGCCCGCCAGCCTCAGGCCCGGCGTGACCCTGAGTTCCAGGACTAACCAGGATGCCCTTGGCCTTGGAACTGACTCTTAAAGGAGCGTGTATTCATTTCCCAGGGCGGCCAAGGCAACATACCATAAACTGGGTGGCTTAAAACAACAGAAATTTAATCTCTCAACTTCTAAAGCCTGGAAGTCAGAAACCAGGTGTGATCAGGGCCGTGCTCCCTCCCGAGTCTTTAGGATTCAACCTTTACTTGCCTCTGCCAGCTCCCGGTAGCCCCAGGCGTTCTTGCATTTACGGCTGTATAACCCTGGTCTCTGCCCCCCAGTCTCTGCCTCCTCTTTTCTTTCTGTAAGGATGCTAGCCATTGGATTAGGGTCCATCCCAGCTCAGCACCTCACCTTGGCTTGCTTTGTGGTTTAGTTGTTAAGTCGTGTCCGACTCTTGTAACTCCATGGACTGTATCCCACCAGGCTCCTCTGTCCATGGGATTCTCCAGGCAAGATGAGTAGAATGGGTTGCCACTTTCTTCTCCAGGGCATCTTCCCAACCCAGGAACTGAACCCAGGTCTCCTGCATTGCAGGTGGATTCTTTACCAACTGAGCCACCACTCATATTTCCAAATAAGGACGCTTCCACAGGTCCTGGGAGTTAGGACTTCAAGCATAATTTTTAAGGGGAAATAGTTTAAACCATATTGGAGGAGGAAGGGAAGGTAACAGTAATAAGAGTCAGTGTTTTTGTTACTGTTTGGTTTGGTTTTTTTTAATGAGGAATTTTATTTTTATTTATTTATTTAGTTGTGCTGGGTCTTAGCTGTGGCACATGGAATCTTTGGTTGCAGCATGCAAGCTCTTAGTTGCAGCATGTGGGATCTAGTTCCCTGACCAGGGATCAAACCCAGGCTCCCCGCATTGGGATTGTGGAGTCTTAGCCCCTGGGCCACCAGGGAAGTCCTAAGAGCCGGCCTTGATTGAGTGATTACTGCATATATAATCCCTGAGGCAAGCTTTCAGTATATAGGAACTCAGTGAGTCTGCTCAACAACCTCATTCACACCAAAGGAAGCTTGAAGCCCCCAGTGGGGCCTCTGGGTCCTGAGGATCCAGACCCTCTGACTTCTCTCCTGACCCCTGCTCATTCCACTCCTTGATATTCTTCCAACACATGAGGCTTACTCCTGCCTCAGGACCTTTGCACATTCTGTTCCCTCTGCCTGGAATGCTCTTTCTCACATGACTTCTTGTGGGAGAAACAAGGAGACAGTCCCTCACCACCTACTTCTCAAATATCATCTCCTCATTGAGGCCTTCCTCTCCCCCTATTTATTTGCACCCCCACCTCCCTCCAGCTCCCCACCTCTCTCCCAGACTTTATCATTCTAACAAGCTGTGTAACTCAATTCTTAAATATTCTTATTCCTCATTTCCCACATTCCATCCACCCCACACTCCACTCTTTGTCTGTTTGCAGAGTGGCAGATAGTAAGTGCTCAGTTAATCATCTGTTGAGTGAACGGGTATGAGGGAGTGGTGAGTAACACCATCCCTGTTCCGCAGAGAGGTTGAGTCACTTGTCCCGTACCACACAGCTGGCTCATGATGAATCCAGGCAGCATGACTCCAGAGCCACCCTCTGATCCCCCCCGACCCCGTGTAGATGGCAGAGATCATGATCCCTGGGTGGCCCCGAGTCTCCTGGTTGGTCCTCTTCTGGCCTCGAACTCTTCCATCCTTGGTTCTCAGCCTCCTGCAGGGTGAGCAGGCACCTGGATCAGACAGGGGACTGACTTAGTGTGAGCTGACCTCACAGACTGCTCTGAGGGAGGGTTTGTCGGGGATGTGGTGGGTCAGTGATGGGACAGGTGTCCCAGGAATGATTCCGTACGGCCCCAGTTCCCGGGGCCAGGAGGCCTGGTGTGCTAGCCTTCAGCCACGGTGGCCTCTCACCTCCCCCACCGCTGTGCCAGTCTCTCAGAGGGCATGTTCTGCCTGGTGTCAACATTCTTGATGTCCCCACAATCAGGAACCTCCCTGGGCAAGGGGGCCGAGTGTGTCCCCTCCCCACTCATGCCCCACACAGAGTAGGTGCACGTGGTTGAACGCTGCATTGTGAAGGAAGGAGACAGACCCTTCATGAGACGTGCTATGTGCCCAGCACGCACATGTGTTATCTTGGTTAATCTTGGCGATGTCTCTCGAGGTGGGTAGCCTATGCCCACCCTGTAGGTGAGAAAATTAAGGCTCAGAGTTGCCAGCTTGTCCTTGCCTGCCAAGGAGAGCCTTCCAGGTGATGGGGCTGAGCGAGATCCCAGAATCTCCTTTCGTGGAGGGGTTTCTTTTGTCTGCTGAGCTGAGCTGTGGCCTAGATTGGAGGCAGGAGACTCAAAGAGATGCCCGCACATGCTGGGGGAGGGTGCAGACCCTTCTACCTGGTCCAGGCAAGCTGCAGGTCAATATCATTTGATATTGATTTGATATTGTATTAACCCTGGAGAAAAGCATCATCAGTTTGTTCACTCCCTCAGGTTCTGGGCACTTGTGATGTGTCTGGGGCAGTACTAAGTGCTGGAGTCACAGCAGGGAAGGAAATATACTAAAGATCCTGCCCTCATGGAGCTGACCTTCTGGCGAGGGAGGAAGCAGGACGGGCTGGGAGGTACTTTAGAGGGGCAATCAGGGGAGGCTGCTCGGAGGAGGTGTCATAGCAGCAGTGACTCCAATGAGAGGAGCTGGCCAGGCCAAGACTGGGGGAAGTCTCATGACAGATGCTGTCACAGGGACTCAGAGATGAAAGGCTCGCCCAGGTCAGTCTCACTGGTCTCCACAGGGTGCAACCCTAAACTGGAAAGGGAAATGAACCCCAGTTCCCAGCAGCCTTTGCCATTCTCTGTCTCTAGAGACCCAGACACAGGCCTGTGTGGTCCTCCAAGGTGGGGACGGTGGGATCAGCATGGACGCGGCAGCCCTGGTGGCCCGGCCAGTGAATGGCCCCCTGGAGCTGGTGGTGAATGTCAGCCACACGGCACCTCTTCTCCGGAGGCTGGGCCTGCCCTTTGCCAGCCAGGTGAGGCATGGGTGGCCAGCCCAGGCAGGGGCAGATTCCCCTGCTAATTCTGTCAACTCCCATCCTATTCCCAGGGGCAGAGGACCACTGTGTGCACAGTTGATGCGAATGGTCTTGCCTTGTGTCTGTGCAGCACTTTACAATTTGCAAAGGCTTTATTAATAATGATAATAGTTGTAACCAGCGGCCTCTGTGCTCCCCGCCGTGGGGCTGGTGTGGACGGGCCCCTGGACCTGTGTTCCAGCTCCTGGTCCTGTGTCCTTCCCACCCTTCTACCTTTAAATCAGAATCAAAGCCCAGCGTGCATTTGTGCAGCACCTACTGCATGCTTGGCACTGTTCTGAGGGTCCTATATGCAGCGGCTCATCTCCTAACACCCCAGTAAGACGCAGAGCAGCAGAGTTGTCATACATGCCATCTCTGGAGGCCAGCCCCAGCTCTGCCGTTTGCTGGCTGGCTGTCCTTGGGCAGATTCCCTAGCCTCCCTGTGCCCTCAGCCTGCCCCTCTGTGAAATGGGGATCATGCCTGTCCTGTTAATGTGAGGGTTGTGAGGATGGAGTGAGTCAGTACTAGTAATGCCCATGGGATGGTGTGTGGCTGGAGTGGAAGCTTCAGAAGCCTTTGCTGCTCTGGTGGTGCTGATGACGCTGGCCGCTATAGTCAGCAGCATCCTTGGGTCACTGGTCCATCTCTTGGTGACCTGCCCGAGGTCATGTAGCAAGTAGGCATCAAAACAGGGACTCAGACTTGGTATCGGGTCCTTCCCTGAGACGCACCCCCACACCCTTCAAGTCAGGAACTGTGCTGAGTCCCCATGTAGCGGGCCATTGTCACTTGGTGTGGTCTCAACTTGCTTAGTGGGGCCCTCACGAACCATGGAGCACGTCCATCCAAGTCTCTCTTCCAGCCTGCTGTTTTGGACTATCCAGCAATCCCCCTGCCCCTCACGCCCCACTGCCATGGGAGCAGGAGCAGTTCCCGGAGCCCAGGGGCCCAGGATGTCACTCTTCCCGCAGAGGGTCTGAGTCACCGTGACCCACAGCTGAGCAGCACTTCATCTGAATCCTCTTTCCCTGCCCTCAGCCTGGGCGGTGGGGAGGTCTGTAGGATGCCGACTCTTTGCCGATGTCTGGGGTACAGGTGGACGTTGCGGCCCCTTGGCTGGCAACCTGGGCTGCAGCGAGGGAGCCAGCCCAGGCCTGCCCAGGGGTCCTCACCATCCAAGGGTTGGCAGATGGGGCCAGGGCAGAAGGGCATATGCCCTGCCAGGCTGGTGGGCAGACAGGGATGTGAGGGTCCTCAGGTCCCCCCGCTCCCAGCCTATCCCCCACCCCCTGCCTCACCCCGTCCTCTTCCCTCTTCAGCTCATGTTCCGGGAGCTCTGGGAAAAGGAAGAGATGCATTCTTCCCTGCAGCTGACGTGCGATTCTGAAACCAGCCTGGTCCTCAACGTCCACGGCCACAACGAGGCACTCAGGTGAGGACTTTGCCACACTCTGGGGGCCCCGAGGGGAGAGGAATGGGTGAGGGAGAGGCTTCCGCTGAGCACCCGACCCACAGCCCCACTGCACAGAGGTGGCAAGGGAGGCTCAGAGAGACCAAGTGACTTGCCCGAGGTCACACAGCTAATAAAACATCTTTGACCTCTGGGGCTCGGGACACGAATGAGGAGTTCTTACTCTCCCAAGCTAAATGCATCCCAGGCCTCGAATAGTAACTAGGATGGCTCTTCAGTCTGGGAACCTCCTGCGGCGCCTGGTTCTGGTGTCAGGGTTCTTAACACTCAGATGAAGTCAGGTGGGTCACCAGGCTCCAGGTGATGGAGGGTGATGAGGAAGCCGCTGTTAATGATATAGACCAGTGGTTCTCACCTCGGGGGGGCATTGGGCGGTGTCTGGGGAAAGGTCTGGTTATTACAGCCAGGCGGGGGGGTCTACAGGCTCCTCCCGGGCGGGGACCACAGCTACTGCCAGACCTCCCGTAATGCTCAGGTCAGCCCACAGTGATGAGTGGTGTGGCCTGCGGTGTCAGTGGGTGCCTGGCCTGAGGAGGCGAAGGAGGGGTGCTGTGAGCCCAGGGCTGCAGGAGGGGGCCGGGTTTAAAGCTCGCTATCCAAAGCGAGGGGGGCCCATGGCTGGGCCCACAGAAGACATGCTGCTGAGTACCACCTCGCCCCTGTGCTGGAGGGGAAACGGAGGCACTTGCCCACCGTGCCAGGACCAGGCGGAGGCCAAGCTGGAATGCACCCGCGGGTTGCTGCAGCCCTGACCATTGCACCCCACGGCCATCAGGCCTCCGGGCATGTAAATAACCCTTCATTGGGTTGCTCCCATGTTTCTGGGTCTCCAACCCTCTGCTGGGGTGGTTGGCTTGGTCCCAACCTGGCCTGCATGGGGCGCCCTCACGCCAAGCCTCTCACGCCTTCTTTGCTTCCAGCAAAGAGCTGCGGCTCTCCGGCCGGCATCACCTCCCTGTCCTCCTCGGCCGCTGCCCCAGCAGAGCCTCCGCCTCAGCCAAGGTAACCGTGTCCCGGCCACCCCTGAGCCCCTAACTGGTTCCAGATGCCCTGCCTGAGGCGGGGTGGGGGCCCGTGTGTGTTAACACATCACATGTGTCCCCCAGCCTGCAGCAGGCCCCCGCTGGGCCGCCCTCAGAAACCCCTGGCTCCAGGTTTCCTAAACAGGCCCGGGTTTACATTCCTGGGCCGGCCCTGCAGCCCCCAGCAGGGCCCATGAGACCCCCAGGAGCCAGGGGAGTCTTGCCCACCAGTGCCTGGCGCCACCTCTCCCCAGCCTGGCACGCTCCCGGGCGCTGGATCAGATGACCCAGCATTTGAGCTGAGCCAGCCTCACCTCCCAGGTGCCCCGTCGGCCTTTCCCACGGCCTCTGCATGGCTTCCTGCCCTGTGTCTGCAAGCCCTGTGTTCACCTGGAACCCCGGGATCTCTCTCACTCAGGCGTCTGCTCTGTGTGTAGGGTCTGGGGGTGCCGGCGTGAACGGGAGGGCCAGTGAGATCCACGATTCCCCTTCCCTTGGTGCTGCCATTGTCTCTCTCTGCTCCTCCTCTCCGAAGCGGGAGAGCCTGGAAGGCGCCCAGTACCTGGCCTATGGCCCAGCACACAGGAGGTGCTTAGTGAGAGACAGTGAGGGAATGAATGAATGAATGACAGGATGAGGGAATGAGTGAGTGCACACACCTTATCCTACCAGCCACCCAGCTTTGTAAAAAGCACCCCCACCTCCCTTCCTGCTTTGGCCCAGGCTGGCTTTGTTTATAGAGCACCTACTGTGTGCCAGGCTGTGTACCAGCGCATCACACACAATCTCAGAGCTCTGCGGACTAGACTCACCATCATTCAGGGAGCCTCTTAGTTTCCCCCAGTCTTTGTTTTTCCTAATTTCCAACCTATAGGAAAGGTACTGTAGGGCAGTGACCATTTACCAACTGGCTTTTCCCCCAGTTTTACTGAGATGTAATTAACACACAGCCCTGTTAGCGCGTACAGCACATTAATCCGACTTGCGTCTACTGTGAAATGACTGTAATGAGTTAGTTAAATCTGTTTTCTCAGATACAGAAAAAGAAAAGGAAAAAAAAAATCTTGTGATGACAACTGTTAGGATCTCTTTACTCTCTTTTTTAAAATTGGTTTTATTGGAATATAGTTCATTTACACATTGTGTTAGTTTCTGCTGTGCTGCAAAGTGGATCAGTTATACATATACATATATACACTCTGTTTTAGAGTTTATTCCCGTATAAGGTCACTAGGGAGTACTGAGTAGAGTTCCCTGCGCTATACAGTAGGTTCTTACTAGCTCCCTATTTCATCTCTGGTAGTGCCTGTATGTCTGCCCCAACCTCCCAAATTATCCCTCCTTCCCCTTGGTAACCGTGTTTGATTTTTGCATCTGTGGCTGTGTTTTGTGAATAGGTTCACTTGTACCATTCTTAACAGCTCTCAGATATACCATCCAGCAGGGTTAACAGTAGTCCTCTCACTGTACAAACATCCCTGGTATTTATCTTATATCACCAAGTCTTAATATCTTGCCATGTCTTTCTATTTATACTTATATATGTTATATACTTTTATATATTCACACACATATTTTTGTATTGTGAGTAATATTGAGCTGTTTCTGGAGGCATCTCATTACTCCTAAATACTGCAGCTGGTGTTTCCTATAATAAGGGTATTTTCTTGTATAACACAGTAGAATTACCAAATTCAGGAAATTTAACATGTGACATAATATCGTTGTTGAGTGTACAGCTCATCATAAAATTTCCCAGTTATGCAGTAATTCTTCTTTTGCAATAAGGTCCTTCTGGGCTGTTTTGTTTGTTTTAAATCTGGGATGCAGTTCAAGATCACCCAGGGCATTCAGTTGTCATGTCTCTTTAGTTTCTTAATACCTAGGACAGAGGTCTGCAAGCTTTTACTGTAAAGGGCCAGGTAATAAATATTTTAGCCTTTATACCCAATACCCTCTTTGTTGCCACCATCCAATTTTGCCATGATAACAAAGCAACAGCCATAGACAATATGTAAATAAATGGGCTTGGCTGTGTTCCAATAAAACTTCATTTACAAAGCAGACAGTGGGCTGAATTTGGCCCAAAGACTGACCCCGATCTAGCGATTCTCTTCCTACCACCTGCCTTTCTTTCCTCTAACATCTTATTATTATATTTTTCAGACACCGAAAGATTCAAAAAGCTTCCTAGCGAATACCCGCATACCTGTCACCTAGATTTTTTCATTCATATTTCCCTCTACTTTATCACACAGCTCTCCACCCTTAATTTTTAATGCATTTCAAAGTAAGTTGCTGATACTGATATACTTCCCCCTAAACATTTCATATCATTAACCACCTTAAAGAATGCCTTGAACAACAAGGATTTACTGTATAGCATAGGGAACTGTAATCAATATCTTATAATAGCCTATAATGGAAAAGAATCTGAAGCCATATACCTGAAATAATTATTGTAAACACAATATTGTAAATCAACTATAGTTAAATTTAAAAAAGAAAAAGAACTTCCACATGGATGATTTTGTAGTGTCCAGGCAATCGTTTTGCAAAAATTCTCTGTTTGGATTTGTCAGATAGCTTGTGTAAGGTGTGATTCAGGTTGGACGTTTTTGACAGGGGAGTCACTAAACTATTGATGTTTCTGGAAAGCTCTTAAAAATATCAATTCTTGACCCAGTTTCTAGAGGCTGTTTTTACAGGTCTTAGGTGGGGGCCCAGAGTCTATATTTTTAGCATGTACCCTGAGTGATTCTGCTTTTCAACCAGCCTGGAAATTAGCACATGATTTCATATAGTTTTCATGTCAGCACATTAATAAAGTAGGTTTTGTCATCCCAGTTTATCTGGTTAGAGAGTGAAGTCCTAGGGGTTATGGAACTAGCTAGAGGTCATTCACCCATGCTTGGAAGAGCCAGAGCTGAGTCCCATTCTGATGCACTGTTTTTGTGTTGTCCTCTGCTCTAGACTGCCCCCTCCCATTTACAATGATAATTAGAATGCCTGCCTGCTGCAGGCTGGTAGCCATCTGCAAGTCAGTGTTTGAGCAGGAAGGGCATGCAGAGATTGTTGTCCTGGCCACACCTGGTGGTCTTACCTGAGCTTAGGACCCTCATGCATGCTAAGTCACTTCAGTCATGTCTGACTCTTTGCAACCCCATGGACTGCAGCCCGCCAGGCTGCTCTGTCCATGGGATTCTCCAGGCAAGAATACTGGAGTGGATGGCCATGCCCTCCTCCAGGGGATCTTTCCTGGACCTCACATCATCACAATGCATCTCACCCAGGGAGCTGTAGGTCTTTAAGTCTGGGGGTTTTGGGAGGCCGAGCCTACTTCCAGCACCTTCCTGAATGTTCTGTCAGAGACTTGGGTGAAGAAATCTGCCTTGCTTTCCTTCTGACCCAGCTACGATACTCCGAGGGTGGAGCCGAGGGCACATTTGTGTTGATGGTGGAGGAGCATCACTTCCACATGGACGCCGGGCTCACAGCTGCTAAGAACAGCCTTACCAACATCATCAAGCTGGAGCAGACCTTCCCCCAGGTGCGTGGAGGAGGCCAGGGCAGGCTTGGTGGCGGAGGTACGGAGGGATGTTCCTGGGGCAGCCCTTTGAGAAACGAGGAATTGTCCTGTTTCCTGGGAGGATCCACTGCAGGCAGGGCTGCAGTGGGCAAAATTTGCTGGAACGGATTCTCAGCTGGTCTCAGTGTCCCTTCTTCCCTTCCCCCCTCCCTCCCTCCCTCCTTCCCTCCCTCCCTTTCATGTTATTTACTGAGCATCTACTAGGTACTAGGCCAGACACTGTTCCAGAAGCTGGGGATGTTGCTTAGAGCAGACTGATGAGTCCTTCCTCTCATTGAATGTAGTCTAGTGGGGAGACTGTGCCTGCAATGCATCAGAGATATGGGCAGGAGACGTGTCAGGGAGATCCCCTGAAGAAGGAAATGGCAACCCACTCCAGTGTTCTTGCCTGAAAAATCTCATGGACAGAGGAGCCTGGTGGACTATAGTCCATGGGGTCAGGAACAACTTGGTGACTAAGCAACAACCAAAAGTGGGGAGGCTGACCAACAACAAAAAGAAAATCAAATTAGAAAATATGCCAGATGATGATGCCTACTATAGAAAAGGGCTTCCCTGGTGGCTCAGATGGTAAAGAAACTGCCTGCAGTATGGGGTGAAATGAGCGGGAATGACTGGGGAGCTATTTAGGTGGCCAGCGAAGGCCCCCCTAAGGAGGTGACAATGGGAGCTAGCCTGTGATGACAAGCAGATACCAACCACTTGGAAACCTGGCTTGACAGGGCATTCCAGGCAGAGGGAACAAGACGTGCAAAGGGCCTGGGGCAGGAATGACTGGCACGTTTGAGGAATGGCCACTGTTCTGGAGCAGAATGGGTGAGGGGGAAATAGTAGGCAGGAGTGGGAATCTAATTATGTAGGGTGAGTCAGGCCACAGAGAGGAGTTGGGAGTATCCTCTCTGAAATTGGAGGCATTTGAGGACCTGATCCAAAGGGTACTTTCAGACTCCTCTGGCTGCTGTGTAGTGAGTGACCTACAGGGGGCAGCAGAGTCACCAGTGAGTAAGCTGTGAGCAGGGTCTTAAGAATGATGGTATCTTGGACCGAGATGGGGGCAGTGGTGATGGGCTTTAGAGACATTTAAGAGTAAACTCCCTTCCTCCCCCTGAAAGTCTCCTCTGCCATCCTCCTGTGGCACCCAACAGCAGAGAGAGTGCCCCTTGCTGAGCCTTTGCACAGGCTGTTCCTTCTGCCTAGAATGCCCTTCGCTGCTTTATTCAGCAGCCTCTTTCTCTGTGTTCCTTCCCCCCTTGAATATCTTCCATGGCTTCTCTTGTCACCTTGCCCCACCATTTTCTGACTCTGTGACTATCTCCCCACCAGCCTGGAGCCCCTGAAGGGCCAGGTACAGTCTTGGTTATCTTGGGGGTCCCCCAGCCCCCAGCCTTGGGTCAGGGACATCACACCAGCTCATTAAATGTTTGAGAAATCCTTCTGCCAACCACAGCAGCCTCTCGTGGCACTGTCCACAGGTCCAGCCCTGGGCTGAGCACATCACTCCCCTTGTCTCACTGAAGTCAGCCTTGTTATTCTTACCCCAGTTTATAGATGCATAAGCTGAGGTTCAGAGAGGTTGGGAAACTGGCCCAAGGCCACACAGCTTGGAAGTGGAGCTGAGAGGCAGCTGTCCTCTTTACGGGGGGCATCAGTCTCTGGTTTGTCACAGCCCTTCCACCCCTTTGCTGGACTCTGTTATGGTATCTACCAGTCCAGTAAACAATTAGAGCGTTGTTTCTTGTCTTTCCTCTTCTGAAAGCTTCTCTCCCTTGCTACCCTCAGCAGGAACACGGGCTGGGCTCCCCAGTGACCCAGCTCCATCTTTTGTTTTTTTCAGTTCCATGCCCTTCCTGGGGAGCTGGTCCTTCAGACCTCATATGAGCGAGCCCGTGACACCCGAGTCCTGCAGTACATGGTGCTGTGGGATGGGCGGGGCCTGGCCCTCGAGGGGAGCCTCAATGGGAGCCTCTCCGGGCCCCTCCTCAAGCCTGCCGGGACCCTTGGTCTGCAAGGTGAGTCTCCCAGGGGCCACGCATCCACCCGTTCACTCAGAGCATCGTCACTGAGTGCTTGCTTATCCCAGGCACTGTTCCAGGCACTGGGGGTCCATTGGGAAGCAGGATGGCCTGGGACCCAGATCTCAGGGGGGTTCACACTGAACAAGATAACATCAGAGTGTCTCCAGGAGTGAGACTGCCTATGAAAACAAGCAGGGTTTGGTTTGGTGGGGGGAGGTGGGTGGCGCTCCTCCAGGTGGGTGATCTGGGAAGGCTTGTCTCAGGAGGTGACTTTCAAGCTGAGCACTGAGTGACAAGAAGGTGAAGCTCTGGGGAGGTCATCATGGGCAGAAGAGGAGGAACAGCAGGTGCAAAGGCCCTGGGGTGGGAACAGGCTTTGTGGCTGAAGCGATAGCAGCAAGGTCAGTGTGGCTGGAGTGGATTGACGGGAGGAGCAGAGGGCCGGAGATGAGGTGGGAGAGGTTAGGGGAGCCAGGACACACAGGGTATCAGCCCCTGACAAGGAGTTGGGGTTTATCCTGAGTGTGATAAGACAGGAGGACAAGGTTAGGGCGTGGAAGATGTGGCGACCCCTAGCATCCCCAACGGGTTGCAGGCTGAGGCAGACAGAATGCAGGTTGGCAGGGGAGGCGAGTGTGGCCCCTGCGAGGGCACCCGTGACCCCCTGAGGCCCTCCAGGAAACAGCCCCATCCCCAAGGGGCCGTGCAGACACATGGCCTGTCAGTTTGTGTTTGAGGGGTCTGCGTACACAGAGCAGAAGCTAACCTGCTGGCCTGCCAAACGGGAGACGCAGTGCAGACCCTGGCCCGGGGCGGGACGGCTTGCTGGGTAGCCCAGGGGGTTTCCCTGGGATCAGGGTTGCCACATGTGTGCCCTGCAAGGCAGAGGGAATGAGAGGATCCTCAGCACGCCACGGTAGTATATATTGTGCGTGCCCGTGTGTGAGTGTATGCATGCTCAGGGGGCCCGTGAATGGGCCGAGCATCCTGTGGACCCTGCTGTGTGGTTGCCGGGCACAGGAACCAGCAGATCAGGAACCAGAGGGAGTGAGGGGTTGCGGCTCTGCTTGTGGTCTGTGCTCCCTGGACTGGCGACCAGGTGACGCCTTGAGAACCAGCTTAGAGCCACTGTCTCTGGGCACAGCTCCCCAGGGTCCATGTAGGGACAGCCCCCTTCCAGAGGGCTCAGAGGTGGTCTTTGTCTGTAGTGGAGTCTCAGGTGGACTCCTGCTCTGGGGGGTCTAGGATTGCAGGAACAGTTGGTGTCCTTTTGGGATGGAGTCAGATGGTGCCGGAGGTCAGGGCAGCTAGGCTCAGGCTTCAGAGATGAAGGAAGAAAATCGAGGGCCAGGAGGCCGTGAGGCCTCAGCGATGGGCTGTGTCGTACCCCAGGATGGAATGGGAGCATGGGGCAGCTGTGTGTGACCAGGTGGGTGTGGAACAGTAAAAGTGCCCAGGGTAACCATGTGTGTGAGGGACCCGAGAGTGATATTGGAAGGTGTATCCGTCAGCTACTGCTGTGTAACAAATGACCCCAAACTCAGTGACTTACAGTAATAAGAATTTATCACTGCTAACGAGCCTGTGGGCAGCTCTCTGGTCTTACTCACGCGTCAGGGTCAGGCCCTAAGTTGGTTAGGTGGTGCTGCTGATTTCGGCTGCACTTTCTTACCTGTTCGGGGGCTGGTTGGCTGTCTCCTGGTCGGGGACAGTCTCTGCTGAAACATCCAGGCTCTCCTCTGTGTGGCGTCAGTGTCCGGCAGGTCAGCCTGGGGTTATTCTCACAATGGCTGGTCCGGGGTTCTAGAGAGCCAGACGGAGTTGAGGACTTAAGGCCAAAGCTGGGGTTTTGCAGTGTCAACTTCACCAAATTCTACAAGACAATCACGAGGCCAGCCCAGGTTCCAGGGCCAGAGAAACAAAATTCCACCTCTTGATGGAGGAGATACAAGGCCTCCTTGCAGAAGTCCTGGAATGGGGCTCTCATGGGGACACTGATGGACTGTTGAGTGGCATGGGGACCAAGTGAGGGGAAAGCTTCTGAATTTTGTGCAGATTATGTGTGTGTGTGGCCCCAAAGTGGCCCCCTGCCCCCTCTTGGCCTCAAGCTGATGTACGCCCCCTGCCTGTACGCCCCTCCCTGCCCAGTGGAGCTCACCCACCCGCTGCCCCTCCCCCTGCCACGGCACTGCCGCTTCCGCCTGACCTCCGAGCATTCGACACGCCGTCACCAGGATGACCTGGTCGTGGGCTGGGACGGCAAGGACCAGGTAGGCGTCGGGCTGGAAGGGGACCCGGGAAGCCCAGCTTGCGGCCTGAGCAGGATGCTCGGGGCCCTGCCCTGCCCAAGGAGCGTTGATGGGGCCAACCAGCCTGAGCCCTAGTCCCCAAAGGACCACGGGAAGAGCACTGGGGGGGAGCAGGGAGCCTGGGTCCCAACACCACCTGGATGATAACAGGAAGACCAGTGGCTGACGCATAGCGACGGCCTCTTATGTGCCAGGCACCCCAGCCCCGTTTCAGAGATGAAACTGAAGCTCAGACAGGAATGGAGCTAGTGAAAGGCAGGGCTGGGATTCAAATCCATGAAACGCCTCTAACCCCCAGTCCCCTCTCCGTCATATGCTTGTCCCTATCTGCTGCTCTCCAAGCCTCAACTTACTCCCCTGAAAAATGGGCTGAAGCTCCCAGAGGGCCTCCCCCAGTGGTGGGCCAGAAGCCCTCACTCCCTTGACCTTGATGAAGGAGGTGACCTGCGCTGGGTGGTGGGGAGGGCCTCTCTAGGGGAGGCCTCCCGCTCAGCCTGTCCCCTCCGCAGGTGGCGCTGTCTTCCTCTCTGTGGCTGGGGAAGGGCAAGCTGGCTGCCCGCCTGGCCCTGGCTCACCCCTTCGGCCTCTCCTGGCAGCGGGCCGAGGCCAGCGGCCTTGCTGAGAGCAGGGGCGGCAGGCAAAGCCGGCAGGTGAGCGGGGAGCAGCCACGGGGCCCTGGGTAGACAGCCCTTGGGGGTGGGTGAGCCGCATGGCTGAGGCCACGGGTGGGACATCTGGGACCACGTGTGGGGGGAGGAGGATCTTGTTTGTTCATCAGAGACAAGGATGTCTCTGGGATCACAGTGTCCTGAAGCTTGGAACCTCAAGGGGGCCTTCATGCATTCATTCCTTCATTGGGACTGTATTAAGCACCTACTGTGTGCCAGGTAGTGTTGAGGTGCAGGCGTAGTCCCTGCGTTGATAAAGCTCACAATGCATTCATTCCTTCATCGGGACTGTATTAAGCACCTACTGTGTGCCAGGTAGTGTTGAGGTGCAGGCGTAGTCCCTGCGTTGATAAAGCTCACAGTTTAGTGGGAGGAGCAGTTCACGAGCATGTCTGGTTCATCACTGATGCGCTGGTTTGTTTAGCTGGTCACTGCAGGGGTTCACATAGGGTAGCTTAGAATCTGCATCTGACTGGGAGGCTTTGGGCAGTCTTCAGCACCTCTCTAAGCCTCACCTTTTTTGTTTTTCTATTTTTTTTCTGTGAAATGGGAGACAGTAGGCCAGTGTGTGCCAGGCAAAAAGACCAAAACTCAAGAGAATGAATGAATAAAAAATTAAGAGTTGTGATAAGCCCTATAAAGAAAGTAAAGCCAGTACTAAGAGAATCATTGGAGTCCAGGTGGGGAGGGGACTTTAGATGGGGTGGTCAGAGAGGGCTTCATGGAGGAGGTGGCTTGTCAGCTGAGGACCTGTGGATGAAGAGGAGCCGGGAAAAGCTGGAGGAGCAGCAAGTGCAAAGGCCCTGAGGTGGGAACAGGCTGGGAGCTTCAGGAGGGGCCAGAGGCAGTTGAGACCAGCACGGAGGAAATGATGGGGTGGGGGCCAGTGAAGGGGCAGGCCACTTGTCTTGGCTCAGGGCTGCCATAGCAAAATACTACAGGTTGCGTGGCTTAGACCACAGACTAGAGGCTAGAAGTCCAAGATCAAGGGGCCAGCATGGCCAGGTTCTGGCTCTCTTCTTGGTCTGAGGCCTTCTCCCTGTGTCCTCACATGCTGGGGAGAGAGCCCTGTGGGGTCCTTACGGAGCGCAGATCGCATCATGAACCCCCACCCCACCCCATATAACCCTAATCACTTCCCAACACCTCCTGATCTTGTCACATTGGGGATTAGGGCTTCAACCCACAGGCCCCAGTGAGGGGCTCAGATTTCACTGTCTTGGGAAATGATGAGTCTGGGTGTTGAGAATGGGGATTTTTCCACCCTGTAAACACTTCTGGTCTCCAGTCTGGGCGTGGCTCTGCACTCTTACAGGCATGAGCCAGAAGAAAGTCAGTGCCTCTACTCCTGCCTGCCCCCTCCGTCCCCTACAGGGGTGGGTGGGGGCCCACCAGCTTCTCCACCTCCCCCCACATCCAGGCTCTGCACCCCTCCTCCCTCTTACCTCCCCACCCCGACACACAGACGGGGGACCTCAGCCTCTCCTCCGTCCCCTGCTCCCGTCCACCTGCTCCTGGCCGCGTCTCCACGCAGGTACAGCTTGCCTGGAATGGAGGGCAGCCGCTGGCCTTGCAGCTCACCTGGGCCAACAGGTCCTCGGCGCAGAGCGCCTCCTGGGACGGCTGTGTGGCCGCCTCCCCTGGGCAGGTATGCACTGCCTGCCCTCCCGACCCGGCGCCAGGTGCCCCCAAACCCCGGGCCCTGTTCTGCGCCCCAGTCACACCTGCCATCCTCTTCCCCCTCAGCTCCAGGATACCTGGGGCCTGGGTGCCCTCAGGGCCTGTGGGGCCTTAACACAGACCCCAGCTGTGTTCAGCGAGTGGCTGGATCTGTCCTGGGACGGACGCCGGGTACAGCAGAACCTGACGTATGAGGTGAGGCCTGGGAAGCTGGGTGGCCCCACCAGCTGCAGAAAGTGCTTGACTCTGGGGTCATAGGGTCCTGGGTGTAAGTGCTCATTGTGCTCGGGGGCCCTGGGCAATTCATTTCTCCATTGCAAACCTTGGTTTTCTCATCTGTGAAATGGGTACAATCATCCTGTAATGTCGTGAGAGTGCTGGGAGGTCAGGAAAGCAAGGTGCCCAGCATGAGGTGGGCACTCGGGGAGTGGACCAAGGAGTGGGTGAGCCCAGTGGGGAGGGGTGGGGGGAGGTGGGGAGCTCAGGTTCCCAGAGGTGTCAGGGTCAAGGTCTCCCCAGCGTCACCATCTGCCTGAGGCTCCTGATGGGCTGAGTGCTGCTCTGCAGAGCCAGGGGCAGGGGCTGGGCCATGGAGAGATGAGGGCAGCTGGCCTGAAAGTGCCCTTGTCCCTTCTGGGTTTCCTTAGGCCCACAGCCCCTCAGTCTCCCAACAGAGGTCCTGCATGGTGTGTAAATGCCTGCTCTGGGGCTGCCTGGGGCTCTGATGGGGTTCCTGGCACCTCCTCTCCTCTTGTGAGGGTCTCCTTCTCTCTTATGGGATGAGCCCCCATCCCAAGATGCCTCCTTCCTTCCAGAGGCGCCAGCCATCCCTCCCAGACAAGATTCATGCAGAGGCCATGCTGGAGCACGTCCTCGGGGCCCCCTGCCCCACGCAGAGCTTCCGGGGAGACGTGGAGACCGACCATGCCCACTGGCTGCGCCACTCACTGCAGCTGGGGCTCTGCCACCTGCCCAGGGTAAGTCTGTCCCTGGGAAGGGCCCAGGAACCCAGCGGTGAAGACAGAGGAGGGTGCCTGCCCAGGGCAGGGGTGTGAGTGAGGGAGCCGGGTGCAGTCATCATGGGTCTGCAGGGTCTGCAGGGCCTGCAGGCGGCCCTGGGCAGGACTCTCTCCTCTCTGAGCCTCTGGTGTTTCATCTGAGGGGTGGGAGATGTGGTTGGTTCCAGCACGTGGGGTGATGGGGAGATTTAAGATGTGGCACCAGGAAAGTGCTCAACATGTAAACCAAGCTGCTGTTTTCATTATTGTTAGGGGGAGGGGTTGGGACCCCTGTTCCCCCAACATTCCCCTGAGTTTGTTAGCTAGTTGATTGGTCTTTCCTGCCTTCCTCCACCCACCTTTTACCCATCTTTCCAGCCAGCCATCCAGCCAGCCATCCATTCATCTACCTACCCTCCAACCCATCCTCCCATCCATCCATCCATTCCTTCGTCCTACCTGCCTCCCTGTCTTCCAACCTCCCTCCCTTCCATCCATCCATCCTTCCCCTTTCCCATTCCCCACACCTTCTCATCTCTCTAACAATCCCAGGGGCCACAAACATTTCCTGCAAAGGGTTGGATAGTAAATATTTTATTTATTTAAAAAACTTTATGTATGTAGTTTTGTGTTGGGTCTCAGTTGCTGTGTGAGGGCTTCTTCCTCTAGCTGCAGCGAGCAGGGGCCACTCTCTAGGTGCAGTTCCGGGTTTCTTACTGCGGTGGCTTCTCCTGTTGCAGAGCATGGGCTCTAGGCACCGGGGCTTCAGTAGCTGCAGCTCCCAGGTTTAGTTTCTCTGTGGCAAGTGAGATCTTCCCGGACCAGGGACTGAGCCTGTGTCCCCTGCGTTGGCAAGCAGATTCTTAACCACTGAGCCGCCAGGGAAGTCACAGTAAATATTTTCAGTCTTGCAGACCACATGGGCTCTGTTTCAGCCACTCAAGTCTGCCATTCTGCCGTGAAGGCCCCCGTGGAGGACATATAAATGAAGGGGTATGGCCAGTCCCAATAAAAACGTATTTACAAGAACAGGTGATGAGCCAGATTTGACCCATCAGCTGAAGTTTGCCAGCCCCCAATCTGTCCATCCACTCAGAGAGCATTTGTGGGTCTTACTTATGCCAGGCTCTGTTCTAGGTGCAGGGACAAGGATGGTGAAAGGGACAGACCAGGTGCCCGCCTTCCCAAAGAGTCCAGTGAGTAGAAGAAGATAACCAAGACAGGAGTGGTGAATGCCATGCAAGAATGAAACAGGGAGAGAGGACGAATGCTGAGTGCGGTGAGAACAGCCAGTGCAAAGGCCCTGTGGCCGGAGCATGCTTGTAGATGTTTGAGGAACACAGGGCGGCTTCTACAGAGAGGGCAAGGAGGTGAGGTTAGGAAGATAATGCAGACCCACAGGACCTGCCAAGGAGAGCAGCTTCTCCTCCAAGTGCAATGGGAAGACAGAGGCTTTGAGCAGGGGGACAGTGTCTGATTTGCATTTTTTTTTAAAGGTAAAATGGAGGAGGGGCTATAGGCTGGGGCAGGAGTGGAGGCTGGGATATGCTATTGTGACTCCTGGCGTGAGGGGCTGGCGCCTGGACCAGGGCCTCGCGAGAGGAAGCTGTGACCCCGCGCCTCCGTGACCACTGACCCCCCCGCCTCCTCGTTCCAGGCCCTCGCCGTCTCCGGGGAGCACACCCTGGGCAGCGGTGAGCTCCTGCTACACTCCAGGTGCCAGCTGGGCCTCGCCCCAGACCCAGAGCACGGCCTGCACCTCAGCCTGATGCTCCGCAACCACAGCAGGCCCCGGACGCATGACTACTCCGGGGAACTGGAGGTAAGGTGGCTGCCCGCCCCAGAGGTAGATACCCTGATGGCCGTCTGTCCCTGTCTGGCCGGTGGACCACCACCGACTGGGCAGCCCTGCCATCTAGTGGCCAGGATTGGAACTGCAAGCAGGCACGCGGCGGGGCGGGGGGCGCGGGGCGCTGAGCTTCCTTGTAGTGGGACCGGCCCCCCCTCCCCGCAACCCTGAACCTGCCCGCCCCTCCCCCCCCCCCAGCCTGCCCACCCCCCTACTCCCACCCCCACCCCCCAACCCGAGACAGAACAGCTCCTCTGCTGCCCCAACACCAGCCCTTCCTGTAACCAAGAGGCAATGGCTGGACTGCCTGAGTTTGAATCCCAGCCCAACCTCTTCCTAGCTAGCAGTTTGCCTCCCCTGTCTGTGCCTCAATTTCCTCACCTGTAAAATGAAAGTGAAGTCGCTCAGTCGTGTCTGACTCTTTGTGACCCCATGGACTGTAGTGTACCAGGCTCCTCCGTTCATGGGATTTTCCAGGCAAGAGTACTGGAGTGGGCTGCCATTTCCTCCTCCAGGAGATCTTCCCAACCCAGGGATTGAACCTGGGTCTCCTGCATTGCACACAGGTGCTTTACCATCTGAGCCACCAGGGAAGCCTTCTCACCCTCACCTGTAAAGTGGGGGATAATCATTGCACCTATCCTACCTCCCATGGGATTAATATTGTAGGGATTAAATATGTTAATGTGTATATTGCTTAGAACGGTGCCAGGTACAAAGCCAGCACTAAGTATTAGCTTCTTTTATTGTGTGTGTCTGTTCACTCAGTTGTGTCTGACTCTTTGTGACCCCATGGACTGTGGCTCACCAGGCTCCTCTGTCCACGGAATTTTCCAGACAAGAATACTGGAGTGGGTTGCCATTTCCTACTCCAGGGGATCTTCCTGACCCAGGGATTGAACCTGTGTCTCTTGCATTGGCAGGTGGATTCTTTACCACTGCAGCACCTGGGAAATCCCAGCTGCTATTATTATTGGCTTTATTGGCCCAGTCTTCTCTCATCTCTCCCTTTCCTGGCAGCCCAGGGAGGTAGAAAGGGTTCAATACCTACTCTGCCCTCATCTGGCCAAATGGTTTTGGAAAGGGACCTCTCCGAGCCCCATTTCCTTACCTGTAAGTAGGGGTCAGATATATTTCACAAGGTGGTCAGTGGGGTTCTGGGCACCCCTCCTCTCCACCCACACAGCATGGGTATAGAGTAGGTGCCCCATCAGTGCTGCCATATGCCTATCTCTGTGTCTCCCTGACGTTGGCCTTGTGACTTTCCCTTTACAAGCCTCAGTATTCCCCTCTGTCAAATGGGAACAAATCCCACCTCCTCTGCAGAAGTGTTGGGAAGAAAAAGAAACAGAGTTTGCACGGCACATACACACAGGAAGTGCTCATGAGATGGGCGTTTCCTGCCAGTGTCCAGAGCGGGACGAGGCATTTCTGTGTCTGGAGCTCACCCAGCCCCTGCTTCCAAGCCCAGGAGCTGTGATGGTTTCAAAAGCATTTTCCTTTCTAAGGCTTGCCAAGGCTGGCTCTCATTTCTCCGTTGGCCCGCCAGGCCGCCAGCCACCCCCGCATGTGTAATCCCAGTGCCCCAAGGTTCATGACTCCCCGCAGTGGGTGGCCAGGGAGCGGGTGGTCCCTCTGCTTCCATCCCGAGCCTGTGGGTGGCTGGTTTTGACCGCCTCTCCCTTGCCCACATGCTCTCTGCCCCATTTTGGGGTCCATGGCCTGGGGAGGGCTTTCCCAGCCTGGTTTGGTGTTCACACCAACCTGATGGAGAAGAGGGACAAAATTCGGGGGGTGGGGCAGGCACTTACCCCAGCTGCTGGGGCCCCAGCCACTCTGACTAGGACGGAGCTCAGATGCAGGAGGCCATCTACGAGGAGCACCCCAGGTGTGGTCTGCAGATGTCTGCTCCCCCACCCCGCCACCAGGCTCACTGCCCGAGCACTGTGAAATCTTCTAGGAATTCCTGGGTGCCACCCCTCCCACTCACTCAGAAATATGCTGGAAGAAGACTCGAAACTGCATGCTTTGCGAGCTCTCTGAATTGGATCCCTAGGGCTGACAAATTACCCACCAAGTCAGTGCCTTAACACGATAGAGATTTCTTCTTTCACAGTTCTGGAGGTTAGAAGGCTAAAATCAAGATGTCAGCAGGGCCATGCTCCCTCTAGAAGACCCAGGAAAGAATCCTTCCTTGTTTTCCAGCTGCTAGGGGCCGCCAGCAATCCAGGAGTTGGTTTGTTATCCCAGTCTCTGCCTCCGTCTGCACGTGGCCTCTTTCTTTACTATTTATTTTTATTGATTAGGCTGTGCTGGGTCTTAGTTGCAGCATGTGGGATCTTGTTCCCTGACCAGGGATTGAACTCGGGACCCCTGGAGAAGGAAATGGCAATCACCTCCAGTATTTTTTAAAAATATTTTATTTATTTATTTGGCTGTACTGGGTCTTAGTTGTGGTATGTGAGATCTAGTTCTCTGACCAGGAATTGAACCCAGGCCCCCTGCACTGAGAGCCTAGAGTCTTAGCCACTGGACCACCAGGGAAGTCCCCCCGCTCCCCACACCCAGCCCTGGCCTTCTTATAAGGACACCAGTTATCGGATTTAGGTGTCCTTATATGACTTCATTGCAAATTTATTTCATCTGCAAAGAACAGACATGCAAATGACACCACATTCACAGGCACCAGGGTTAGAATTCCATCAGATCTTTTTGAGGAACACAATTCAACCCATAACACATCTCCCGCACACATTCACACAAACATACACGCACACACGCATTCTGATTCCTGATAAATTTTGAGAACCACTGTTCTACATCTGATCTTACAGATTTTGACATGGAGGCCCAGAGAGGGTAACACAGTGACTCTGGGCAGCACAGCTTGGGAGATGCAGCATTTGGACCAGGATACAGAGCAGCTGAGTTCAGGCCTGAGGGGCTCCCCTCGCCCGCACCTGCATCTCACCCAGCCTGTTGCCTCCCCTCGTCCTGCGGGGTCTCCCTCAGGGTTCCTTCCCTTTAGGCTACTGAGGGTTTTCCTGACTCTGCCCCACCCTGAGTCGGGAAGATCCCCTGGAGAAGGAAAAGGCAACCGCTCCAGCATTCTTGCCTGGGCAATCCCACGGACGGAGGAACCTGGAGGGCTGCATAGTCTGGGGTCGCGAGGGAGTCAGACACGACTGAGCATGCACATTCCGTATTATTTTATCGGTATGTCATGAGTTGTTCCAGTCGTTTGTTCCACTGGCCGTCCACGGGGTTGTGAAGAGTGGGACGCAACTTGGTGACTGAACAACCACCCGTCTTGTGTCCCCTCCCCTCTCGGCTGGTGGCTCCAGGGGCTGGGACGAACGTTCAGTGGCCTGGCCTTAATGCCAGGTGCCACCCACCAGGTCTCCTTGACCTTGCAGAGACATTTGTAGTGGTTCTCCTGCAGATACGGAAAAGCTCGCTGGGAGGGGGAGACACCCAGGTGCTGCGGATGTTGAAATGCCAGTGCCCAGCCCCTCCCGCAGTCAGCTAGTTCAGAATCTCTAGGGTGAGGCCTGAGCATCAGGAATTCTTAAGCCATCTGGATGCCGTGTCCGTGCGCAGCTAGGTCCCTGGATGTGGATTTTAATAAGCGTTTATGCAGTCGGTAGGGACTCTGAGCCCTGTGCTTCCCTGCTGGCTCAGACGATAAAGAATCCACCTGCAATGTGGGAGACCCGGGTTTGATCCCTGCGTTGGGAAGAGCCCCTGGAGGAGGGCATGGCAGCCCACTCCAGTATTCTTGCCTGGAGAATTCCATGGACAGAGGAGCCTGGCGGGCTAGGTCCATGGGGTCTCAGAGAGTCGGACACGAGTGAGCAAGTGAGCATGAGCTGAGGCCTGTGGCAGGGTCCTGGGGTGAGGGGACCCAGTGCTTGCTCTGAAGGTATGGGGTGGGGTGGGCATTGCCTCTCCCCCAGAAGGTTCAGCCTCAGTCTCCCCAGCCTCCTCTCCCCAGCTCTGGGGCCAGCGGAGGGCAGGGGCAGGTCCCACTCAGGCCTCTGCCCCTCTCCCCCAGCTCCGTGGCCCCAGAGCTCAGTGGCTTGGCCTCCTGGGCCGCGTCTCCACCCTCGCTTCTCGAAGCCTGGTCCAGATGGAGGGAAGCGTGGCCGACGGGGATGAGAAAGTGAGGCTGTCAATGTCTCGGGCCCCAAACTGCTTCCAGGCCTCGGTGGCCCACGAGGAAGGTGAGTGGAGGCGCTGGGTGGGGCTCAGCTTGGTCCAAGAGAAGTCAGAGATTGGGGTGTTGCGAGCTCAGAAGTCAAAGGCAACCCTGGTAGGGTTCACGCCCCCCCCCACCCCCAGCCAGGAGGAAAGGAGCTCTCCATGGCCATATGGATTGACTGTGATGCCAGGAAAGGCTGGGGGAAGGTCTGGATCAGAGGTGGGTGTAGGGATGGGGAAGAAACCAGGCTTTGGGTCTAGAAGGGGGGTCCGAAGGTTGATGTAGGCAACTCATTTTGAGACCCTCAAGCCCCAGGGCCTTTGAGACTCTGCCTGTGGGCAGTGGGGAGCTATAGGAGGCTGTGGAGTGCCAGAGGAGTGGGCAGCTGGGAGGTGGGTGGATGAGTCCTGGGCTCAACAGCAGGTCCCTTCCTGGCCCCAGGGAGGCAAGAGGAGAGCGTGCTGCTACGGGCCTGTGCCCACAGGCAGGCGGCGGAAGTGGAGGCCCTGCTCCGGGACCGAGGGCAGCCCGTCCAGCCGCTGGTTCGCCTGACCCTGCAGGCTGCCAACCGGAGCCTCCGCTTGGCTGCACGCGGCTGCCAGGGGACCCTGCTGGGCCACGTGGAGGTGAGATGGCTGGGGGTGGGGGGGGGGCGCGGGTTGCCATTCCTACCACCCCAGCCCAAGCCCCACCCTGAGGCCACAGGCCCAGGCTCCCAGAGTCCAGTGGAGCCAAGGAAAGCAGAGGCAGACAGCCCGTAGCGTGGCACACGGGTCCGCAGGCCTGCTGCTGGCATCAGGAGCTTTCTGCCTGCTGTATTCCCGGGGGGCCAGCCTGTGCCTCTGTGTCCGCAGTCCAGGGTAGCTGCTCTCGGGTCCCAGATGCAAGCTGGGCTGGAGGAGAGGATCCACAGCTTGGATGCCTACGTGAGAAGGTTCCAGCGCCTGGTGGGTCGAGTGCACTTGGGGTATCACTGGACAAGGGAGGGAGCGTGGGGCTGGGCGGGGTCACCGCTCTGCTCTGTCTGGGGCCCCTTCTGAGGACATGAGGGGTGCAGGTGGCCCCAGATCCTCACGCTGATCTGGCCTCCATTCCCCCCGGCCCAGGTGCAGCCAGCAGGCGCCCTGGACGGCCTCACCAGCCCGCTTCTGCGGCTGTGCCAGGCGGGGCTGGGGGCCGTACGGGATGGCGGCCGGGCAGTGGCCGCACTGTGGGGCCTGAGCCCGGCCAGGCGGGCGCTCACCCACCAAATGCCACTCTCCCTGGAGAGGCTGCAGGCGGGGCTGGAACAGCTGCGGAAGGAGCTAGAACGTGAGTGCAGGGGCGGTGGGGGGGTGGTGTGTGTGACCATGCCCCTGATCCACGCCTGACCCCTCACACTTGGCCTGGGGCAGTGGTTCAAGCAGGAAGGCCACTGGATTCCCAGCGGGCCTGTACCCCTACTTCCTTGAGAGCCGTCTGTCTTATTTCTCGTGGACCTACACCCTTCAGACTCGGGGAGCAGTGTCCATTTTTTAAAGAAGAATTCTATTGATTTAGTGTTGTTTTGGGCTGTGCTGGATCTTTGTTGCGGGGCAGGCTTTTCTTTAGTTGTAGCGAGCGGGGTGGGGGGCTGCTCTCTAGCTGCGGTGCACAGGCTTCTCGTGGCGGAGCACGGGCTCTGGGGTGAGGGGTCTTCAGTGCTGGCAGCACATTGACTCTAGTCACAGCTCCCGGGCTCAATAGTTGTGGTGCATGGGCTTCGTTGCTCCTCGGCATGTGAGATCTTCCTGGACTGAGGACTGAACTCGCGTCTCCTGCATGGCAGGCAGATTCTTAACCACTGAGCCACCGGGGAAGCCAGCCGTGTCCATTCTTGTAGGTCTCTGAGCTCATATCCCTCGTGCTCACCGCCTTATTTTTTCTGGGACCTCTACCCGAGTTTCTTCAGTCTCTGAATTCTTTTGGATGTACAGCTTTATTTCTGCGAAGCCCACTGCTATAGATTCCAGGGCCTGTTTCTGGCTCTGTGATAAGAACCAGAGAGGCCATGCTGGTTGTGACGGCTGCTGTCCCTAGCTCCCTCCTGGTGACACTGGGACCCTCCAGCCCCTCCCAGGGTCTGGAGCACCAGGGCTGACAGCGGGCCCAGTGGGGGAGCCCAGGACCCTGCTCAGCACCAGGGCAGCTATCCTGAGGCTAGCTGGTGCTCGGGCCAGACTGACCGTTCAGCGTCCTCTCACCCCTGCCGTGTGTCTAGTCAGAATCCCAGGGCCACCCTGGCCTGGATGACTCACTAGGACTCGGCTCTCAGCTTGGAGTTGCACCTGCAGCCTTAGAACCAACATACAGAGCCAGGCCTCGGAGGGACAGGCGTAGAGGAGGCTCTAGGGAGACCACCCCCCGTCCCCGCCACGAGCTCCCAGACTCGTCCCCCAGTGGGGGCGCACAGGATGCCCTCAGCGCCCCCAGCTTCAGATTGTGACAGCACATGTCAGACATAAGTGCCCAAGGGAGCGCGTTAGAGGCCCCGCACCCAGGCTTCTCATTGCCGGGCAGTCAGGTGGGAGCCCCTGCCTGGCACAGACCGACGTCCCAGACTCGCAGAAGGAAAAGGGGTGGTCAGCGTGTTGTCTCTGCACCCCAGGCCCAAGGAGGCGCTCTCATCAGGTCTGGGAACGGTAGGACTCCCCCAGAATCCAGCCAGGGGCCACCCTGGTGAACAGGCCTTGCAGACGGGCAGCCTCGGGCCTGCCGGGTTGACATCCACAGTCTCTAGTGCCGCCGCCTCATTCCAGGTTGCAGGCTCTATTTCCTTGCTGGGGGCCCGGGTTGTCTGGGAGGGGTGGGCTGGTTTCCCCGCACGGGCCTGGGAGGCGGCCAGCAGTGTTGCTCCTGCCGCCAGGCCCGGGAGGCCCCACGGTGGGCGGTGGCTGCCTTTGCAGGGCCCCTGGCCACGCTGAAGGACGCCTACCTGGAGGTGACGGTGCGGCCCCTGGACGACGTGTGGCGGGAGCGGGCGGAGGCGGCCCTGCGGCAGCTGCAGGCCTGGGTGTCCGGGATGCCGGGCACCTGGGGGTCCGGGCCCCTCGCGGCAGCGCTGGAGGCCACAGGTGGCGCCCTGGAGCTGGTGAGTTTGGGCGCGGGGGCGGGAGGAGGCCTTGCGGGTGGGGACGGCCCTGACAGCTCTCGCGGCCCCCACCCTGTCCAGGCCGCCCACCGGATGCTGTCTTGGGCCGACGCCGCGCTCTCACGGGCACTGAGGCGGCTCTGCAGACCCCTCCTGGACATGTACAGCCTCTCAGCCAGGTGACTCCCTGCTCCGAGGCCCTGCCCCACGCCAGGCACACCCTCCGCCTCATCCGCTCCCCTGCCAGCCCTGCCATGGAGGCATTTCCATCCCCATTTTACAGATCAGGAAACTGAGGTCTGTTCTTCATTCTGCAGGTATTTTACAAGCGCTCTCTCTGAGCAGGTGGGGTTTTAGATGCTGCAGACGCAGTGGTGAGTGGGACAGGTTCTGGCCCTCCCCTGGCTGCCTGGGGAGACAGTGACCAGGTTATCTGCCCCTCGGGGGCGGCAAGCCTTCCTGTAAACGGCCTGAGAGTGATGTGTACGGGTTTTGTAGCTAGCTGGCCCCTCACGTAGCCTTGGTCTTTTGTTTCTGTTAAGAATTCTTTGAACATGTCAAGGCCATTCTTAGCTTGTAGGCTGTCCAAAAACAGGACAGAGGCTGGATTTGGCCATGGACCATAGTCTACCCACCTTTGAGGTAGTATGTGTGCTAAGTTGCCTCAGTCATGTACGACTCTTTGTGACCCCATGGACTGTGGCCCACCAGGCTCCTCGGTCCATGGAATTTCCAGACAAGAATACTGGAGTGGGTTGCCATTCCCTTCTCCAGGGGATCTTCCTGACCCAGTGATCGAACCCATGTCTCTTATGTCTCCTGCATTGCAGGCAAGTTCTTTACCATTAGTGCCACCTGGGAAGCCCCTGAGCTAGTATGTTATCTAAACGTCACAGGAAAAAAAAAAGGACATGGGGCATTGTATTTTTTTTAAACATTAACCTTTTAATGAATTAATTTGGCCATGTGGCACAGCATGCAGGATCTGAGTTTCCTAACCAGTGATGGAACCTGTGTCCCCTGCAGTGGAAGTACAGAGTCTTAACCACTGGACTGCAAGGGAAGACGCCAATGGGGGCATTTTATTTATTTATTTATTTTTTTAAATTTATTTATTTATTTATTTTTATCACAACCATAGTGTATCTTTTTTTTTTTTTTTTTTACATGTACTCCCCATCCCGGTCCCCCCTCCCACCTCCCTCTCCACCCAATCCCTCTGGGTCTTCCCAGTGCACCAGGCCCGAGCACTTGTCTCATGCACCCAACCTGGGCTGGTGAACTGTTTCACCCTAGATAATATACGTGTTTCGATGCTGTTCTCTTGAAACATCCCACCCTCGCCTTCTCCCAGAGTCCACAAGTCTGTTCTATACATAGGAGTCTCTTTTTCTGTTTTGCACATAGGGTTATCGTTACCATCTTTCTAAATTCCATATATATGTGTTAGTATACTGTAATGGTCTTTATCTTTCTGGCTTACTTCGCTCTGTATAATGGGCTCCAGTTTCATCCATCTCATTAGAACTGATTCAAATGAATTCTTTTTAATGGCTGAGTAATATTCCATGGTGTATATGTACCACAGCTTCCTCATCCATTCGTCTGCTGATGGGCATCTAGGTTGCTTCCATGTCCTGGCTATTATAAACAGTGCTGCGATGAACATTGGGGTACATGTGTCTCTTTCAGATCTGGTTTCCTCGGTGTGTATGCCCAGAAGTGGGATTGCTGGGTCATATGGCAGTTCTATTTCCAGCTTTTTAAGAAATCTCCACACTGTTTTCCATAGTGGCTGTACTAATTTGCATTCCCACCAACAGTGTAAGAGGGTTCCCTTTTCTCCACACCCTCTCCAGCATTTATTGCTTGTGGACTTTTGGATAGCAGCCATCCTGACTGGTGTGTAATGGTACCTCATTGTGGTTTTGATTTGCATTTCTCTGATAATGAGTGATGTTGAGCATCTTTTCATGTGTTTGTTAGCCATCTGTATGTCTTCCTTGGAGAAATGTCTGTTCAGTTCTTTGGCCCATTTTTTGATTGGGTCATTTATTTTTCTGGAGTTGAGCTGGAGGAGTTGCTTGTATATTTTTGAGATTAATCCTTTGTCTGTTGCTTCGTTTGCTATTATTTTCTCCCAATCTGAGGGCTGTCTTTTCACCTTGCTTATAGTTTCCTTTGTTGTGCAAAAGCTTTTAAGTTTCATTAGGTCCCATTTGTTTATTTTTGCTTTTATTTCTAAAATTCTGGGATGTGGGTCATAGAGGATCCTGCTGTGATTTATGTCGGAGAGTGTTTTGCCTATGTTCTCCTCTAGGAGTTTTATAGTTTCTGGTCTTACATTTAGATCTTTAATCCATCTTGAGTTTATTTTTGTGTATGGTGTTAGAAAGTGTTCTAGTTTCATTCTTTTACAGGTGGTTGACCAGTTTTAATGGGGGCATTTTAAAGAGTGAGGCCATGGTTGGCTTCAGTGAGAAGGCAGCATTTGAGCCTTGAACAGCTTGAAGGGCGAGGAAGTGAGCCAGGTGTGGTCATGGGAAGAGAGTTCCAGGAGGAGGGCAAAGCTGATGCAAAGGCCTGGGGGTGGGAACTCACCTGCTGCTGGAGGAATATGAAGGAAGCCAAGGGGGAGCTGGAGTGGAAGGTGGAGGAGTTAGGGACATAACAGGGTTCTGGAATACACAGCAGGTTTTGAGCTGAGGAAGGACATGCTCTACCTGTCATTTAATAAGATCCCTCTAGCCCCATGTTGAGAATAATGACTGGGGGTCAGGAAGTGGGGGATAGAAGTGGGGAGCCCAGTTTAGAATGGTCCAGGCAAGATGGGAAGGTGGCTGCACCGTGCAATGGCAGCCATAGCATTGTGCGAGGCAGTCAGACTCTGAACAAGCCTGTAGGATTGGCTGACAGATTGGATGTAGGTAGTGGAAGAGAAGAGCCGGGGATGACTCCAAGGGTTTTGGCTTTGATGACTGAAAGGGTGGAGGGTTCATCTGTGGAGTAAGGGGGGGTGACTGGGGTACAGGAATCAGCTTAGAGATTTTTTAGTTGCCTATGGCTGCTGTAGCAAATCTCCACAAGTTCAGTGGGTTAATGCAACACAGATGTATTATCGTGTAATTCCGGAGGTCAGAATTTCAAAATGAATTTCAGGTTCTTCCCTTCCCTTTTCCAGCTTCTACTGGCCACCTTTCCTTGGTTCGTGGCCCCTCCTCCATCTTTAAAGCCAGCAGTGTAGCATCTCCTCCCCTTTTACCTTGGTCCTTATATCTTTCCTCTGACCCTCCTGCCTCTTACAAGGTCCACTGTGATTCCACTGTTTAACCTGTCTCAGAACATTTGGTGTGGTCACACCTACAAAGTCCCTTTGGCCACCTACGGGGATGTAGCCTTTCAGTGGCTTGGGCATCTTTGGGGCTGTCATTCCACTTGCTGTGCTGGGAGTGGGTGATATGGGGCTCCTTTCTGGCCTGTTGAGTTTGAGTTGCTCTCCGGACACCCCACCAAGGCCAGCTGACTTTCTGAGGCCTGGGCCATCAAGCACTTTGGGAAGGGTCAGGAGGCCTTCATGCCAGGGTCTCCCAGCTCCTCCGTGCTCCCTCCAGGGACCAATCGGTGGCGGTGACGCTGCCGATGCTGCCGGCAGGGGACGAGCCCCTGGATGTGGCCCGCGTGACCAGCCACCTGGTGGAAGAGCTGCTGCTGCGGCCGCTCCGAGCGCTCTACGGGACCAGCGTGCTGGCCGAGTACCACCGGCTCAAACGCGGCCTGCTGGGGGCCCCCTCTGGATGTAAGTCTTGCAACCCTCCTCTCTGGGAGCCCCTCTGCCCTTTGGGATGCAGCAGCGTGACCTGGCAGGGACAGATGGACAGTGGGACCATCCCTTGCTAGTACAGGGACGCCCTAGCATCACGGTTCTGGGCCCATCTACTCCCAGGCTGAGTGCTGAGGCTACTGGGCTTCCCAGGGCCACACAGGACTAGGGCTGGGCTGTGGATCCAAGGCATTTGTCCAGAAAGTCACAGCCTGAGCCTGAAGCCCAGCATGGAGGCATGGCGAGTGGCTGAGGACTAGGCCAGCTCTCTCCGGGGTGGACTCTGCAGGGAAAGCATAAAACAGACCTCCAGTTGCAGCCAGAAGGCCACTAATCGAGTCCAGACTGTCAGGCGAGACTTGGAGGCAGGGCCTGGAGCAGACACAGCTCCAGGGGCCGGGACAGCCTGGGAGTTTGCGTTCTCTCCTCCGAGTGTACACTGGCGAGCTGTCTCACCTCTCTGCCACCCGGAGGGGCAACGTGGCCCACTTGGGAGGTAACGGGCGTGTGCCTTTGGCGTCCTGGAGGGTCTCAAGTCGGTGGGCAGGGCTTGGCAAGGAGTGGTGTGTAGCCTGGGGGGTCTTGTGATCGCACAGGTGAGGACAGGTGGGAGCCACCAGAGTCAGGGGTACTTGTCTGGCAGGCAGCGGGGCAACCGGAAACAGCCTGGTCCCCGGGTTCCACGTGTGTGACCTGGGGTCGGCCTGTGACCTTCAGCTCTGACACCTGACGGAGGGACCCTCCTCGTGAGGCCATCGTGGGCTGGCCCTGGTGTGTGTTCAACAGACGGGGCTTCCCTTATCTGCTCCCTACCCAAGCCTCTGCTGGCCCGGTAGGTCAGAACTGCCCTTTCTCGGGCCACCTTCTGCTCACTGTGAAGAGGGCAGGGCTGGCCCAAGTGGCACCTCACTCCTGTGGGACCGAGCCTTTGTACTTTTTTTTTTTTAAATAGTGAGCATGTCTCTTTGCCGTAGCTTCAGTGAGGTTACAATCCACCTGCTACTCAGGTCTTTTTTGAACTGTGGGTACAATTCAACAACTTCTAACCTTCCGTCAAGGGTGACAAGAAATGAGAGACAAATGGGAAAATACCATTTGTATTCATCTTTATAAATAAAATGATGTGCTTAGTTCAGTTATTGGTAGTTTTTCATGATAGCCATTCTGACCGGTGTGAGATGGTATTTCATTGTAGTTTTGATTTGCATTTCTTGAATTATTAATAATGTTGAGCATCTTTTCACGTGCCTGTTGGCTATTTCTTCTTTAGAGACATGTTCATTTAGGTCTTCTGCGCATTTTTCCATTGGGTTTGGTGTTTTTTTTTATATTGAGTTGTATGAACTGTTTTATATTTTGGAAATTAAGCCCTGGTTGGTCACATCATTTGCAAACATTTTCTCCCATTCTGTAGGTTGTCTTTTCATTTCGTTTATGGTTTCCTTGGCTGTGTAAAAGCTTCTAAGTTTAGTTAGGTCCCATTTGTTTCTGTGTATTTCTGTCGCCTTGGGAGGCTGCCGGTTGTCCATTTAAAGTCTCCGATTCAGTGGCCAGTGTGCATCCATCAACATGGTCAACTACAGAACCTTCCTCACCCCAAAAAGACACCCTGCATCCCTTAGCTCTCTGTCCCCACCCCTCAGCTACACCCCAGTCCACTTTCTGTCTTTGGGGATTTGCCAGTTACAAACTTTGTATGAAAGGAATCATGTAACACGTGACCAGGCTTCTCACTCGGAGTTTCCAAGGGTCCTCGGTGTTGAAACGTGCATCACCACTCGGTTCCTTCTTGTTGCCGACTTGGCTGTACACCGTTCACCTCGGGGCGTCTCTCGAGCTCAAGTTGTCTTGAAGCTGGGGTTCCTGGAGACAGACCCTGCTCCCCAGGTGGGCTGCCCCTGAGGACACCAGCCAAGGAGTAGGCCCTGGATACCGTGGGCTGCTCTGTGGGCTCAGGGCCCCCCACTGCAGCTGGCGCAGCGGGCCCCACTCCCCCTGCCTCTGGCTTCTTCTCCCCAGACCACGCCGTGGTGGCCGGGGCCAGGTACGTGGTGACCTTTGACGGCTGGGTGTGGGCCATTGGTGACCGCTGTGGCAGCCTGCTGCTGGCCCAGGACTTTGCTCATGACACCTTCTCGCTGACGCTAAACCGGGCGGGCTCGGGGCTCACGTCGCTGACCGTGGGGCTGAACCACACCATCCTTGCCCTCTACCCCAGCCTGAAGGTGAGCCTGTGCAAGCGGGGTGGGAAGGTTGCCCGGACACTTTTCCTGCCTCCGGCCGTGTCCACACACGTGCGCCCTGTGGAGCCTGTCCTAGCCCCTGTCTTGCCCACAGACCTACAGACTGTACAGCAGCTCCCTGCCCGGGGAGAGCTGTCTGGACAGGGACCTGCCTCCCACCAAGACTGGGAAGGACGACCCGAGGATTGAGCTGACCAGTGAGGACGGTGTCTCCATCACCTGTGACGTCCGTGCCAGCCTCTGTGGGCTGACTCTCAGCGTCTGGCAGCATGGTGGGTCTGGGCTCCCCCTGGCAGCCTCCGCGTCAGTGCAGTCAGCTTCCGGGGCTGAGATGGACAGATCCCAGTGGGCAGTTACTCTGTGTCCTTGGGAGGATGAGGGTGGGAGGCCCAGGGATGCTCCTGGGCCTCTGCTGGTCCTTGGGGTTCACAGTCTGAGCGGATATCAGAACAGCCCAGAACTGGAAGAGGCTCAAAGCCCATCTCTGCCAGCTTTGATCACGTTCAGTGCTGGGACAGCCCCTAAGTCAGGGAGCGCGAGCGTGCTAGGTCACTTCAGTCGTGTCCGACTCTGCGACCCTACGGACTGTAGCCCACCAGGCTCCTCTGTCCATGTGATTCTCCAGGCAAGAATACTGGAGTGGGTTGCCATGCCTTCCTCCAAGGGATCTTCCTGACCCAGAGATCGAACCAGGGGGTGTACAACTCTGGACACAACCGCTGGTTGACCGCTGCCCTGTGTTAGGAGCTATGATGCATGGTCAGCTCCTTCCCCTTTGATCCCCCCACTGTTGTCCCCTGGGACAGGTGACCCACTTTAACTCACTCACCCCCATGTCCCCAGCCCTGAGCAGTGGCGCCAGGATTTGAGCTCAGGGCTCTGACCCTCCCCATGACAAGGTTGGGCTGTGCCAGGAACACCTATGAAGAGCGTGCATCCCGGCCACTCGGGAGAGAGGGCCAGTGGACAGGGAACGTCCCGGGAGGGGAAAAAACGCTTCCCTTACAGTCCTTATTCTCCTCTCCCTCTGGAGAGAAGATTCGGAGCCAGGGCTGGTGTTCAGGGAGTTCAGCCTTGGAGGACGCAGGGTCTGGCCATGCCCCCGACCCTGGCCGGCGGGCTCTCACAGCCCGTCCTGCCTTCCCTGCCCCACAGGCCTGTCCGCCGGCCTTCTGGGCACCAATGACAACGAGGCCAGCAATGAGCTGATGCTGCCGGATGGCACGCTGGCCAGCAGCCTGGAGGAGTTCGCCCAGGCCTGGCAGGTGAGCTGTGGGCCAGCCCGCCCTTCCGCAGGCCTGGGATGCCCTGGCCTCATCATCACTAGGATGCCCTGGCTGGGGGTGGAGAGGGAACCATCCGTGTGGATTGGCCGTGCACCTGAGCAGCGCGGGGACCTCGTCTCTGGGGCTCCAGAGGTTCTCCATCCTAGGCCGACGGGGTGGTGGCCCCCGCTGCGGCTGGGGCACTCAGTGGAGCCGCCCAGGAGACAGAGGTCCAGGCAGGAGGCCTGAGTCTTGGGTTCACGCCCCCAGCTGGCTGGTGACTGCAGAGCCGTGGAGAAGACTCGGCCGGTGTGCCTGGAACAGAGCCCCACCTGCCGGGCCTTCTTCCACGACCCCCACTCCCACCTGGCGAGCTGCTTCGGAGTGGTGAGTGTGCGGCCACGGAGGCCACGCAGCGGGTGGACTGCGGGACAGAGGCCCTCACCCTGATCTAGCCTACGCCCCTCCTCTGTGCTACTCCCCGGGGCACGGTGGGCAGAGACACTGACTCTGGGGGCCGGATTTCAGGTGGACCCAACACCCTTCCTCAGCCTGTGCATCCGGGACACCTGTGGCACCCAGGAGCACCAGCCTGCCTGCACCCTGGCCGCCGCCTATGTCCACCTGTGTGCCAGGGGCTTCGTGCCCGTGGACCCCCCTCCACAATGCGGTGAGTGGCCGCGCCAGCAAGCACTCTGACCCCCTGCTTCCATTCCGGAGGGAAAACCCATTCCTTTCTCTTCGCTTCCGCCAAGAGGACACACACTCAGTTGTTGTACAGTGAGCTAAGAGGCAAAGCAAAGTTACGTGCAAAGGAGCACTTTTCAAAAACATTTTTTTATTTGGCTGGGCCAGGTCTTTGTTGTGGCATGTGGGATCTAGCTCCCTGATCAGGGAAGTCCCAGGAGTTATCAAGAAAGTTACTAAGAAAGAGAAAAAGAGGCCCCAAACTCCCCCACACTTCACTCCAGGTCTAGCGAGTTTGGGGAGGTCAGGCAGTTGCTGATAATTAGAGCCACAGGCCTGCCCTTAGAGAATGTGAATGTGCACACCCTACAAGGTCTGGGAACGCTTGGGCACACCTGCAACCAAAGTCATGCGCGATTCCCACGGCTCATGTCCCACTACCCAGACACGGATGTCAGCGACTGCAGCAAACAATGGCAGTGGATCCCTGATAATGGAGCAAGTGTTCCTGTCACTCGTGAAAGAACAGCTAGGCAGGCTTTACTGGGGGGCTGTAGATGTGCAGACCACTGAAGTAGGGGCAGAAAGATTGGGCTCATCTCTTAACAAGGAGAAGTGGGGAGAGGGGGCCAGTGGATGGAAGATCACTAAAAAGAAAGATGAGGGGTCGGGGAGATTCTGGCTAAGCTGACCTAACAGAACTATTGCTGAAGGCAGGCCAGGGAGATCAGACATCACCCGGTTGCAGAGGTCAAGGTGATCAACTCTGGAGGATCCTGATAAAGGTACTGACCTACTAAAACTGGACAATGAAGACGTGACCATGGGAGCCCAAAAATCAGGAGCTAGTTGAGAAGAGTTCTAAGAAGCCTGAGTAGAGTCTGGTCAAGGAGAAAGTCCTTCTCCAAGACTTTTGGATGCTAGAATTAAAGATTATCAAAGATAAGCACAATTCCAGAACTGATTTCTAGAAATGAAAAAATATTCACAGAAATTTAAGACAACGCATTATTGATCCAGGTGATTTTTCCAGAAACCAATGCCTGGGGCCAGCAATTTGTTATGTAAGTGAATATTGATAGGTGTCAACATTATATAACATTTTATACATTTAGGTAACAAAAACGTATTAATTCATCTCTGGTCAGTAAGTTGTTAATAGAAAAAGAGAAAATTAACTGGAAAATATGAGAGGAGGAAGATGAAGTGAGAATTTTAGAATGAGAAAGTTCTCAGATCCAAGAAGCGCAGTGAGACTCCCCTGGCAGTCCAGTGGTTAGGACTCCAAGCTTCCAATGCAGGGCACATGGATTTGATCCCTGGTCAGGGGACTAAGACCCCACATGCTGTGTGGTGCGCCCACCCCCCACAAAAAAGCACGGTGTGTCCCAAACACGATAAACAAACCTCTACCGTGACGCATCAGAATGGAACTGTGGAAAACCCAAGCAGAGGGCCTCAAAGCCACCAAAACGAATGGAAAAGAGGTGATTTTTCAAGGAACAAATAACCATTCTCTTACCAGCAATGACAGAAGATGGTGGAATAAGTCTTTACAGCATTAAGAGAAAATAATTGTCAACTTATATTCTATGCCCCGTTCAGGTGATATTTAAGATGGAACACTTCCAGCACTGAACTGCCTGAAAATGTCATTTGTGAGTTGTCCATTAGTGCTAAGGGACACGGCCGTGCACATTCATTCACATGCTGTTTGTGGCTACTTTTGTGCCATGATGCGGAGTATTTGTGACCAAGACTCTCCAGCTACCAAGCCTAAAATATTTACTGTCTGGCTCTTTATAGAAAATGTTGGCTGACCCCTGGTGTAAACCAAGGAAAGCAGAAGGAAATTAATGAACTGGGAAGAAATGAATAGAATGGTTCAAGAGAGAAAAAAGAGACGCACAAATAAACAGAACTAGGAACAAGGAGTCAAAACTACAGGTTTCAAAAGGTGACTCAACTTTGCTGATAAATTTCAAAACAAAGTATTTCCCAGAAAAATACAATCTGCCCAAACTGGAGTAGGAATATTAAAAATCTAAAAGCATCTCATAGCTGTTAAATCCACTGCATCTGTAGGCTGACATGTACCTCTGAAAGACAAGAGGTACGGTTTAGTGAAGAGTTGTTAGACATGACAGCAAAAGCCTGATTCATAAACGAGAAAAAAAATCAGTAAATCGGACTTTATCAAAATTATTTGCCGTTTCTTGTCAAAAGAATGGAAGAACAAAGCCCTGGGAGAAAATACTTGCAAACCACATAGCTGACAAAGGACCCATATCTAGAATACATAAACTCTCAAAATTTAACAGTGGATGAAACTAGAGCCTGTTATGCAGAGTGAAGTCAAAGCAAAACAATATCAGATATTAACGCATACATATGGGATCTAGGGAACAGGTACTGATGAAGCTATTTGTAGGGCAGGAATAGAGACACAGATATAGAGAACAGACTTGCAGACACAGCAGAGGAAGGACAAATTGAGAGTCACGTTGATGTATATACACTTCCGTGTGTAAATAGCTACCTGGGGGAAGCTGCGGGGTAGCACCGGGATCTCAGCTCCAGGCTCTGTGATGACCCAGAGGGGTGGGATGGGGGCGTGGAGGGGGGCTCAAGAGGGAGGGGACATATGTGTCCTTATGGCTGATTTACGTTGCATGGCAGAGACCAACCCAGTGCTGTAAAGCAATTATCCTCCCGTTTAAAAGTTTCTATTGAAATATGGTTGATTTACAATGCTGTGTTGGTTTCAGGTGTGCGGCAGAGTGGTTCAGTCTGTGTGTGTGTGTGTGTGTCTGTATATATTACTCTTTTTAAGTTCTTTTCCATCATAGTTTATGAGCACAATATTGAATTTAGTTCCCTGTGCTATACACAGGGCCTTATTATCTGTTATATTTATATATAGTAGTGTGGACCTACTAATTCCAAACTCCTCTAATTTATCCCTCCCCCACTTTCCCCTTTAATAACTGTTTCTTTTCTAAAAAAAAAAAACCTAAAATTTAAGTCAAAGTACAATCTATACAGAAAATGGACAAGACACATGGAAACATTTCACCCATGATGGCACATAAGCACCTGAAAAGATAGTCAGCAGTACCAGTCAGTAGGAAAATGAGATAACCCTTTACACACCTATTATAACAGTTAAAATGAAAAACAGTGACATTACCAAATGCTGGCAAGAATGTGGAGAAACTTGTTCTCATATAGTGCTGGTGGGCAGGGAAAATGGTATAGTCACTGGAAACAAAGCTAAACATACACTTATGATGTGATCCAGCAAATGCATTCCTGGATATTATCCCAGAGAAATGAAAACAAGTGTTCACGTAGAAACCTGTGTATGATTATTCATAGCACTGTTATTCAGTTCACTCAGTCGTGTCTGATTCTTTGCGACCCCAAGACCTGCAGCACGCTGGGCTTCCCTGTCCATCACCAACTCCTGGAGCTTGCTCAAACCCATGTCCATCAAGTCAGTGATGCCATCCAACCATCTCATCCTCTGTTGTCCCCTTCTCCTGCCTTCAATCTTTCCCAGCATCAGGGTCTTGTCCAGTGAGTCAGTTCTTCGCATCAGGTAGCCAAAGGACTAGAGTTTCAGCTTCAGCATCAGTCCTTCCAATGAATGCTCAGGACTGATTTCCTTTAGGATGGACTGGTTTGATTTCCCTGCAGTCCAAGGGACTCTCAAGAGTCTTCTCCAACACCGCAGTTCTAAAGTATCAATTCTTTGGTGCTCAGCTTTCTTTATAGTCCAACTCTCACATCCATACATGACTACTACAAAAACCATAGCTTTAACTAGATGGACCTTTGTTGGCAAAGTAATGTCTGCTTTTTAATATGCTGTCTAGATTGGTCATAGTTTGTCTTCCAAGGAGCAAGTGTCTTCTAATTTCATGCCTGCGGTCACCATCTGCAGTGATTTTGGAGCCCAGAAAAATAAAGTGTGCCACTGTTCCCTTTGTTTCCCCATCTATTTGCCATAATCATGGACCAGATGCCATGATCTTTGTTTTTTGAATGTTGAGTTTCAAGCCAACTTTTTCACCCTCTCTTTCACTTTCATCAAGAGGCTCTTTAGTTCTTCTTCGCTTTCTGCCATAAGGGTGATGTCATCTGCATATCTGAGGTTATTGATATTTCTCCTGGCAATATTGATTTCAAATTGTGCTTCATCCAGCCCAGCATTTCTTATGATGTACTCTGCATATAAGTTAAATAAGCAGGGTGACAATATATAGCCTTGACGTACTCCTTTCCCAATTTGGAACCAGTCTGTTGTTCCATGTCCGGTTCTAACTGTTGCTTCTTGACCTGCATACAGACTTCTCAAGAGACAGGTAAGGTGGTCTGGTATGCCCATCTCTTGAAGAATTTTCCACAGTTTGTTGTGATCCACACAGTCAAAGGCTTTGTCACAATGAAGCAGAAGTAGATGTTTTTCTGGTATTCTCTTGCTTTTTTGATGATCCAGTGAAATGTTGGCAATTTGATCTCTGGTTCCTCTGCCTTTTCGAAATCCAACTTGAACATCTGGAAGTTCATGGGTTCACGTACTGTTGAAGCCTGGTTTGGAGAATCTTGAGCAACTTGTAACCACCAAAATAACCTATGGTCAGTACATAGTTAAACAAATTCTGGTATATCCATACTCTGACCACTTAGCAATGGAAGGGAACAAACTACTGATACAGGCAACAACTTGGACAGATCTCCAAAGCATGAATGAAAAAAGACAAATTCAAGGATCATGCGCTGTATGATTCCATAACATTCTCAAAACTACAAATTATAAAAATCAACAAATTAGTAGCTACTGGGAGGAGGAGTGGGTGTGACTACAATAGGGTAGAAAAAGGGAGATGTTTGTGGTGATGTAACAGTTCTGTAGTTTGGTGGTGGTGGTTACATGAATCCACAACTGTGGCAAAATGTCACAGAACTATACACAATGTCAGTGCCTGGGTTTTGTTATTGTACTATAATTATGGAAGATGTAAACGTTGGGGGGAGTGGGATAAAAGATACACAGGACATCTCTGTACTATCTTTGTGGCGTGTGCTGAGTTGCTTCAGTCGTCAGTGTGTCCAACTCTTTGTGACCCCATGGCCTGTAGCCCGCCAGGCTCCTCTGTCCATGGGATTCTCCAGGCAAGGATACTAGAGAGGGCTGCCATGCCCTCCTCCAGGGGAGCTTCCTGACCCAGGGGCCAAATCTGCATCTCCAGCATTGGCAGGCAAGTTGTTTTCCACTAGCACCACCTGAAAAGCCAATACTATCTTTGAACTTTCTCCCAATCTATAATTATTTTAAAATAAAAGTATCTTAAATATAAAACACCAGGCCCAGATAGTTTTATAGGCAAGTTGTAATAATGTACCACAACTGTTCCAGAATATAAAAATGAGACCCTCCTCTTCCCAACTCTTTTTAATGAAATTAGTATTATCTGCTGGAAGATGACAACTCAAGGGCAAGAGGGGAAAGTTAGAAGCCCAACTGCAAACTTGAATGTAGATGCTACTAATATGTTAGTGAGTGAAATTCAGAAATTTATTGAGACATAAGCTAAGAGAACATCATGACCAACTGGAAGTAATCTCTGGAACCCAAGGATGGTATTTAAGAACAGTGTACTAAAGCAGGCAACTTAGACTATTCAGGACAATCCTTCTGGTAGGATATCTAATAATGTTGGACAAGACAGAAAAAAATGGTGTTTTGGAAATATCTTGATCAAAATCCAGGGGGAAGACAAGAGAGTGACATCAGCAAGGCGACAGGCTAGAAATCTACAAATCCTTATTCCTCCGAGGAAACACTGAGTATAGAACAATAAGTGGACCAAAGTAGCTTTGTGAGAACCCTGGAACCCAGTTAAGCAGCAGCAACAATCAAGTGAGCGCCTGACTGAGAAAAAGTCTCACTCCAAATGGTGGGAAATTTCATGGCTTTTTTTTTTTTTTTTTTTTTGCTTGCCTTCCCCAGTACACTCTCTGAGAAGGCAGTCTGTTCCTGGCTCCTGCTTTGGGGTGGAAGGGAAGGAATGGAACTTGCTTGCAATGTGCTGACTTGTCTGGGACCTGCCAGGGGCTCCTGTCTCTAACTCAGTGGTGATGAGAATGCTGGCGTGGTTTGGATATCATGTGGGTGGTTGTTGAAAGCAGGGGCAGGTGCTGCTGCCAGAGACAGCTGCCGAGAGTCTGCAGGCCTGCAGGTGACTGGGGGCAAGATTATGGACAGACGGATACAACAGTATATCTAAATCCCTGAGAGGTGGGGGTGAGACGGCTAGTCTGCTGGGAATGTGGAGTTAAAGCAGACACACACAGGCCCAGGGAAGATACACCTGCTAGAAAGTATTTGAACGAACCCTGAACTTTCATACCAGGCTGATTAGTGAAGGCCTTCCCCTGAACAGGGGCAGTCTGCAAAGAACGGGAGAGGTGGGTGTCTTTTCAAATGCCCCGTTCCAACAAAAGATGACAAGACATACAAAGAAACAGGGAGACAGGGCCCGTTCAGAGAAACAGAGTAAATCAAGAAACTGATAGGTCTCAAAAGAACTTTTTTAAATATGCTGTCAGCTGAAGGAGAAGAAAGATGGCAGACAACTAAGTGAAATCAGGAAAATAATATGAGAAAAATGAGACCATCAACAAAGAAGTGGAAAATATAATAAACAAGTTCAGGAGCTGAAAAATGGAATAATTTGAGCTGTCTTCAAGAGACTTACTTTAGATCTAAGGACATAGGTTGAAAGTGAAAAGATGGGAAAAACGGTGTTGCATACAAATAGTAACTGAAAGAGTACACTTCAATAATGGATAGAACAACCAAAGAGAAGATTAATAAGGAAACAGAATTTGAATAATGCTACAGATCAACCAGACCTGACATATATGTGTGTGTGTGTGTGTATATATATATATATATATATATATATGCTCCATATATATATGGAACACTTAACCCAAGAGCAGCATTGTTCTCAAGTGTACATTGAACATTCTCCAGGTTAGGACATAGAACAAGTCTTAATAAATCTCTAAAATTTCAAGTCATACAAACTCTTTTTCAATCACAAAGAAACCAGAAATAGCAGAAGGAAAAACTGGACAAATTATAAATTGTACAAAATTAAACAACACACTCAAACACCCAATGGTAATCACAGAGTAAATCAGAAAAAATCTTGAGACAAATGAAAACTGTGGAACTGAGGGAAAGCAGTGCTGAGAAGGAAATGTATAATGTGTAATGTAAATCCTTACATTAAGAAAGGAGCTCAAATCAACAACCCAACTTCTTAAGGATTCTTGAAAAGAAGAAATCAAACTCAAAGCTTACAGAAGGAAGGAAATCATAAAGATTAGTCCAGAGATAAATGAAATAGAAAGTAGAAAAATGAAAGTCAATGAAACCAAAAGTTGTTTTTTTTAAAAAAAGATCAACAAAATTGACAGATCTTTAGCTAGATTGACTAATTTAAAAAAGAGAGAAGACCCAAGTAAGTAAAAATCCAAAGTGAAATCAGGAACATTACAACTGATTTTTATAGGACCATAAAGGATTATGAGAAATTACTATGAACACTTTGTATGATGAGTCAGACAATCAAGATGAAATGCATAAATTCCTAGAAACATATTACCTGCCAAAACTGAATCTTGAAGAAATCTGTAACTAGCAAGCAAATTGAATCAGTAATCAAAAACCTCCCAACAAAGGAAAGCCCAGGACCAGATGGCCTCGCTAGTGAATTCTACCTAGGATTTAGGGAATTGAAAATCAAGCTTCCTCAAACTCTTACAAAAAGTTGAAGCAGAGGGAACATCTTCAAAGCCATTTTATGAGGCCAGAATTATCTTGTTACCAAAGCCAGACAAGGACACTTCAAGAAAACTCTACAGAACAGTATCCTTGATGAATACTGATGCAAAAATTCTCAAAAAAAAAAAAAAACGGTTGGCCCTCTATGAGTTCCACATCCACAATTCAATAAACCATAGATTGAAAATATTTGAAAAAAAATTGGAAAATTCCAAAAAGCAAATCTTGAAGTTGTTGCATGCTGGCAACTATTTACATAGCATTTACATTGTATTTAGGTATCCTAACTACCCTATGATTTAAACTATACAGGAGGATGTACATGCACTGTATGCAAATATTCTATCATTTTATATAGGGGACTTGAGCATCCACAGAGTTTGGTATCCATGGGGGGTCCTGGAACCCGTGGATACTGAGGGACAACTGCACTGACAAACAATTCAAGAGCACATTAAAAAGGATTATACATCATAACCAGGTGGGTTTATCCCTGCAGTGCAAGGATGGTTCAACATAGGAAAATCAATGCAATACATCATATTAGCAGAATGACGGGGGGAAAAACACATGATCATCTCTAATATCATATAAAAGTAGATCAAATACATAAATATTAGAACTAAAACTATAAGACTCTTACCAGGAAATATAGGGGGGACTCCCCTGGTGGTCCAGTGGTTAAGAATCTGCCTGCCACTGCAGAGGACATGGGTTCGATCCCTGCTCCAAGAAGATCCCACCTGGTGTGTGCAACTAAGCCCATGTGCCCAGGCTGCTCTGCAACAAGAAAGGCCAGTGCGATGAGAAGTCTGCACCACAACTAGAGAAAGCTCACATGCAGCAATGAAGACCCAACACAACCAAAAATATAAATAAATCTTTAAAATGAGAATAAATAGACCAACTGAACATCACCAAAATTAAAAACGTCTGTGAAATGACACAATCAACAGAGTATAAAGGCAACTTGTGGAATGGGAGGAAATACTTGCAAACCATTATCTGATAGGGGGTTAATATTCCAAATATACAAAGAATGTCTACAACTCAACAATAAGATCTGTTTAAAAATTGGTCAAAGGACTTGAATAGACATTCCTCCAAATCAGGTATACAAATGACCAATAAGTACATGAGAAGATGCTCAATATCACTTGTCATTAGGGAAATGTGAATCAAAATCACAATGAGATACAAATTCATGCCCATTATGGTGGCTACAGTGTTAGCCACCATAAAGAACAGTGTTAGCAAGGATGTGAAGAAATTGGAACTGTTGTGCACTGTTGGTGGCAGTGTAAAATGGTGCAACCAATATGGAAAACAGCGACCGTTCCCCCCAGAAATTAAAAATTAAACTACCATATGATCCAGTCATTCCACTTCTGGATAGATATAATGCCACAAAAGAATTGAAAGCAGGGTCTCAAAGAGATGTTTGTACGACTATCAGAGCATCATTCTTCACAATAGCCATGAGTTTCAAGAACCCGAGTGTCTGTCAACAACTGAATGGATAAGCAAAATATGTGTATATGTGCAATGAAATGTTATTCAGTTTTAAAAAGGAAGGGAATTATGACACGATACAACATGGCTGAACTTTGAGGACATTATGGTAAGTGAAACAGGCCCGTTACAAAGAGACTCTATGATTCCCCTGATATGAGGCATCTAAAGTTGGTGGCTCAGAGGTTAAAGCGTCTGCCTGCAGTGTGGGAGACCTGGGTTCAATCCCTGGGTTAGGAAGATCTCCTGGGGAAGGAAATGGCAACCCACTCCAGTGTTCTTGCCTGGAGAATCCCATGGACGGAGGAGCCTGGTGGGCTACAGTCCACGGGGTCGCAAAGAGTCGGACATGACTAAGCTGCTTTACTTTCACTGTTGTCAAATTCATAGAGATAGAACATAGGATGGTGGTTGCCATGAGCTGGTCTAAGGGGATAATGGGAGTTATTTAGTGGGGACAGAGTTTCAATTTTGCAAGATGAAAAGGGTTCCTGAGGTGGGGGTTGATTGCACAACAAAGTGAAAGTAACTTAACACTACTGACCTGTTAAGATGGTCAACTTTTTTGTTATGCATATTTTGCCACAACTAAGAACTTTTGAATGAGAAACTTTTACTCAGCACCTACTTCATATGCTAGGCATGGTAATACAACTCTAAACACTGTACTTACAACCACTGTAATTATTAAGAAAAAATAAATACACTTAAGGAGACAAAATTCTTAGAGCAAGAACCAGTACAGACAAGACAATAGACAGAAACAGGAATTCAGAAGTGGGTTTTTCCAACACAGGCTGTACATTCTGGCAGGGAACTAGAAACTATTAAAAGTACATTATCATGTCTGAAAAAGAACCAAAGATAGAATATCAACAGATGACAGAACAGGCATTCAGTAAGCTTCTCTAATGCTCATACTTTCCTTTTAAACATTCTCTTAGCAAATGAGGGCTGGGAGGGACCTTCTTTAACCTGGTAACTTGAGGTATTTGGTACCCAGCCTTTAACATCATAGCTGATGGATAAACATCAGAAGCAGGTTGGCAAGGAGACAGACACTCTTTGTCTCTGCTTTTATTTCGTATTGTATTGATGACCCCATCACACGGAGACCAGAAAAAGAAAGTAACAGAGATTAAAACACACCTGCTAGAACTTCCCCGATGGTCCAATGGCTAAGACTCTGCATTCCCAATGCAGGGGGGGCCGGATTCAATCCCTGGCCAGGAAACTAGATCCTGCATGCTACAACTAAAGATCCCATGTGCAGCAACCAAGATCACAGATCCAGTGTGCTGCAGCTAAGACTCGGCACAGTCAAAATTAATAAATATTTTTAAAAAACTTTTACAAATTCACCTGCTGATGGTGCCTTGCCCAGAGAGGTGCAGAGGATCTGCCTGGGTCTATGACCCCTAAGTTGAAGAGGTCCCTGCTTCAGAGTGAACTGGAGATCCAAGGGGTAAGGCTGTGGCTCCTTCTGAAAGTGCAGAGAAGTCATCCAGAGGTCACCGAGTGTTTCAGAAACATCTGAATATCCCTGCTCCTTCCATGACCTGGATACCCTTTCTCCATCGGGATTCAGCTCCTGAACTCCCCCTTCACCAATCGACTAGATAGCTTAGTCGTGTCTGACTCTCTGCGACACCCTGAACTATAGCCCACCAGGCTCCCCTGTCCATGGGATTCTTCAGGCAAGAATACTGGAGTGGGTTCCCTTCTC